AAACGAATTTAAAGCTTTTACCAGGCAAGTAAAAAACTCGTTTATAAACTCAGTGCATTAACGGGTATTATAAAAAAAAATAATAATAAAGTGTCAAACTTATAATAGCGATTTATAACGTGCTCTTTATTTTCCTAAATAAATTTTTTTTTAATAAATTTAGAAGAGTATTCGAAATTTTAAGCCCCTGAATAATAATTTTACATTTTGTATATTTCGCCTTATTTTGGAAGCTTTTATAGAGAATTTATAGCTTTTAACTACGCAATGCATAATAGAAAATTATTTAAAAAAATTTCTAATTTACCTTTATTACAGCGATTTATGACTACGTGCTCTGGATTTTCCTACATAAGATGTTTTTTTTTTAATATAACACCTGTATTTTTTAAAAAGAAAGAAGCTAAACAATTAATCATAGGGTGCATGATATTTTAAAAATATTGCAAAATGTCCAACTTTGTATTATTAATTAGATTTCATATTTAGACTTAACGTGCTTTAAACAAACTAACGTTTTTCTACAAGTATTTCATGTAAAAAATGAGCATTTTCGGTAAATAGGACTTTATTTTAAAAATGAAACCAATTATAAATTATGAAAAATTATAAAGAAAATGGCAAAATGTCCAACTTTATGTTAACAGCATGAATGCCTTGGACTTGGCATGTTTCAAATTAAATAAGATTTTTTTCACTGTAAACATTTCTTGTATAAATGGGTATTTTTTGGAAAATAAGCATGACTACCGTATTTTGANTTATAGCGCGATCTGTGTGAAGTCTCAGAACAATCACAATTTTTTTCGGGGAATTTAGATCAAAGGTTATCAACAGGCGGCCCGCGAACTAAAATATATTAGTTGTCCTTTTTTTTGCTGACTATTTTCGTAAAGAATCTGTATGGGTTTAAAATACTTTTCTTTCGTTAAAAAAAAAAACCTAATTTCTTCGTTTCTGTGAAATTTAACATAACCAACGGTGCAAAAAAAATTATTTCTCAGGTAAAAATCTACTTCTTATTTTAATTTGTTATTCAATACTTTTGTTTTGTACAACTTGATAAAAGTCTGACAGTAATATTTAATGTTCCTTCAAACATAAAAGAATTCTATATATAATTTTGATAAAGTTGTGGCCCGCCATTTGACTGGTGTTTTTAATTGCGGCTCCCGGCCTCATGTAAGTTGGAAACCCCTGATTTAGATGAGCCACAATCTGGAAAATGTGGTCCTAATAGTTTAGCTAGAAGAGTAATCGAAATTTTAAACGCTTAATAATAATTTTACATTTTGTACAGTTCGCCTAATCTTCGAAACTTTTAAAACGAATTTAAAGCTTTTACCAGGCAAGTAAAACACTCGTTTATAAACTCAGTGCATTAACGGGTATAATAAAAAAAAATAATAATAAAGTGTCTAACTTATAATAGCGATTTATAACGTGCTCTTTATTTTCCTAAATAAATTTTTTTTTTTTTTAAACTAAACTAGAAGAGTATTCGAAATTTTAAGCCCCTGAATAATAATTTTACATTTTGTATATTTCGCCTTATTTTGGAAGCTTTTATAGAGAATTTATAGCTTTTAACTACGCAATGCATAATAGAAAATTATTTAAAAAAATTTCTAATTTACCTTTATTACAGCGATTTATGACTACGTGCTCTGGATTTTCCTACATAAGATGTTTTTTTTTTAATATAACACCTGTATTTTTTAAAAAGAAAGAAGCTAAACAATTAATCATAGGGTGCATGATATTTTAAAAATATTGCAAAATGTCCAACTTTGTATTATTAATTAGATTTCATATTTAGACTTAACGTGCTTTAAACAAACTAACGTTTTTCTACAAGTATTTCATGTATAAAATGAGCATTTTCTGTAAATAGGACTTTATTTTAAAAATGGAACCAATTATAAATTAGGAAAAATTATAAAGAAAATGGCAAAATGTCCAACTTTATGTTAACAGCATGAATGCCTTGGACTTGGCATGTTTCAAATTAAATAAGATTTTTTTCACTGTAAACATTTCTTGTATAAATGGGTATTTTTTGGAAAATAAGCATGACTACCGTATTTTGATCTGACACAAAATTTGGGGGCAACAGAAAAAAAAAACGACTTAAAGCTTTGAACTTAACTTGCTTTTGTTTATTTGCAGTTTCAAAAGAAGTCCGCATTGCGAAAAGTTAAAATATTCATAAATTGTCTACTCTTATATAAACGCTGAACTATAGATTGTTTAGTGCAATATATGTTGCGGACTTCGCAAGTTTTTTTTTTTTTTTAATTTGCGGGTTAAGATTTATTAATAATTTTCTAAAAAGATTTCTAGACATATAAGGTTATTTTCAAAATTTATGTCATACTCATTTCAATGTGAAACCAATTTCTAAAGAATCCCGCATTTCAAAAAAAGTATGTTTCTAATGTTAAGCGTTACATGGGCTTTAGACTGAGTTTGGGATTAAGAATTGTTTTTAACATTTTTTATAAATATTTTTGGATATATATAAATTTTTATAGAAGATATGACTTCTACATTTCAATATGAAACCAGTATCACGAGTACCGCAGTTCGAAAAATAATAAAAATTAAACAAAATTCTTAAATGCGTTTTTTAGGCAAGCTTTGGACTCAGCAAGTTCTGGATTAAATAAGATTATTTTTAAAAAAATTGATAAACAGTTTTAGAAAAATATCGGTATTTTCAAAAGATATAAAGTCTATATTTTAATATGAAACAAAAATCCTCTATTGCAAAAATGTTTTAATTGTCCGAGCTTTTATGCTAGCACTATTTGTGCTAGCATAAGTGGGTTTAGGATTAATTACGATATTTTTTAGTTGCTATAAATTTTTCCAGGTATATAGATGTTTTCAAAAAATGACCCCACATTTTTTTTAAAAATTAATCACGATATACAAAAAATTATTAATGTCTAAAGTGTTATGATTATATTAGCATAATTTTTTTTTTCATGTGGCCAAAAGAATAAAAAAGAAAAAGCAAATAATGCCAAGTGTATATCAGTGAATAGTAATGGATCCAAAGAGGTGCAAAAAATTTACAGGAGAGAATTCATCATACTTCTAACATTCAAATATAATTAGTAAACATTTTTGTTGGTCTGAAATTCTATGTCGAATCCTGGAAGCCAAAGTTGCTACTGATGCAAGAAATGTTTTAAGAAAATAATTTTGGCATATTATTAATAAATTTTTGTTTTTTGCATTGTTTATACAATTTTTAAACTAAATGTATACAAACAGAGGCTAAAGTTTGTAAAATCAGCCATAAGTAAAACATTTATTAAATGCATAATAATGTTAGTACTCATTTATTGTATATTATATTGTTTCTAGAAAACATTAAACAATATAATTACAATAAATATACATTTATTGTAATTATATTGTTTCTAGAAAAATCTGATAAAATTTAAAAGCGCTAAAAACCTTCTATATTGTGATATTTTTCAAAATAATTGCAGAAAAAATCTGATTTCAAAATAAAAACATCGATATATTATTTTTTATTTTAATTTTAAAAAATTTAGAACATTGTTTTTTTTATTTTTTAACTGAACTTACATCAATCACCTTTTGGGGTAATGTTAATATAGATTATCCTATCAATAACCTAAGAGCAAAAATAATTCAACAATCTACAGTTCATCTGTCAACTTCCTCTAAGAATCAAGAACTTTTTACGAATTTTCAAAACCAGTAAGACTCTTGAACAGTTTATATCAATATGTATTTCATTATGCTCGAAATGTGAACTTAAATGTGAAAATAATAATAAGAAAACACGATTTTCTTAAATTATCAAGTAAAAAGTTAATAGTCAGAAGCATAAGTAAATAGTCAGAAGCATGAAGAAAAAAACTTATGAATAATTAAAATAAATTTCAGTTCAACATTTTCTTAAAAACAGGCATCATAATCATTACTTTTTAAACATAGACTTTTTTGAAAAAGAAATTTCAGAAACATTTTAAACTTATCTATTCAATTTTTATAAACTTAATAATTTTCAATTAAACTTAATTTGTTTCAATTTTTAATATATTTTTTTTTAATCTAATGGATTTTGAGATACCATTTTAATTTTCTCAGTTATAGCGCGAATAATCAGAATCAGCAATAAAAAATAGGGGCTTATATTTAAGATTTCAAAGTTACCCCAATCGCACCCCTGGCGGGTGGAATGTCGAGTTTTGCATCATTGGAGAGTATTTTTAACAAAATATTGAATCCAATGCATATTTCTCGAGATATTTTACCGTTTCTAAACTTTTTTTACATTCTGTTCATAATGCGGCACAGGTGCACAGAAAGACTTTTTTTTATCTTTCCAAGTTTNTTAAAATAAATTTCAGTTCAACATTTTCTTAAAAACAGGCATCATAATCATTACTTTTTAAACATAGACTTTTTTGAAAAAGAAATTTCAGAAACATTTTAAACTTATCTATTCAATTTTTATAAACTTAATAATTTTCAATTAAACTTAATTTGTTTCAATTTTTAATATATTTTTTTTTAATCTAATGGATTTTGAGATACCATTTTAATTTTCTCAGTTATAGCGCGAATAATCAGAATCAGCAATAAAAAATAGTGGCTTATATTTAAGATTTCAAAGTTACCCCAATCGCACCCCTGGCGGGTGGAATATCGAGTTTTGCATCATTGGAGAGTATTTTTAACAAAATATTGAATCCAATGCATATTTCTCGAGATATTTTACCGCTTCTAAACTTTTTTTACATTCTGTTCATAATGCGGCACAGGTGCACAGAAAGACTTTTTTTTATCTTTCCAAGTTTAATTTAGTACATGATGATAAAGTAACTTTACAACTTTTTCAAAAAATCTTTTGTCAAATGTTAACATTGACTTTTCTAGCACTAAATCAAAGCAATCATGAAAATTTTTTTTAATGTGTGTTCTGTAATTGGATAATTTTTAATAATTCAATGAAGTTCTGAAAATATGCATTTAATACAAGAATTTTTTAATACAGTAAATTTCCACAAAAATTAAACAGAATATAAACAAATTCGGACTCTTAACTAGTATTAGGATATTTTGGTAACTTTCTGGTACAATGCATCTACAACTTTTCCTAAACTTTGTATTGTCTGTAAAGCACTATCATATGTTTTATTTACAGCAGTATCTTCAAATATAATCAGAACTCCCTCACCCTGATCTAATATACCTACAAAGAAAACAAAAAAGATAAATTAATAATAATGTTCTTATAGACAACAAAATCACTCACATCAATAATAGAAACAAAATCACTCACATTTTTAATAATTTCAATTGACATATTTTAAATAACGCAACTTAGTAATTTATCACTTTTAATGTGTTTTTACTATTAATTAATTTAATGAATGTTTGTAAAAGCAGAAATATTTTCTTAGAATACTACATGTGGAAATTAAACTTAGGGAAACTTAGTTTATCTGGAACCGTCTTTCTCCCCCCCCCCAGGAAGGATTTATTCGATTAACAAAACAATAATGAAGATAAACAAATTTGTGAAGGGTCCCATTAAAAGAAAAATTATTTTGTGAAAGGTCCGTTTTTATGAAAAGATTTTTCTGAAGGGTCTATTTTCTTCTAAGACAACAGTTTTATTTTCTGAACAGTTATACAAATAACATGTCGTTAGAACTGAAACTACATATTTATGAATCAGTTCTAAAAATAATGTTATATATATTGAAAGAATAATTACTATTAGTACCAAAGTAATGTTTATACAAGATGCAGTTATTAATTTTCAGGACTGACATTATTATGCGAATTAACATACGCATTCAATATATTTTGAAGTAAATTTCACATGCTGGCATGTACTTGTATAAGTTACAGAATCAACTTTTAACAGGACTGTACACCATGGGAGAAACATTCCATTGAAAATTCTCTTTCACTTTCATAAGTAATTTAAAGTAAGAAAAAGTGAGTTTAGACAAACCTAGAAAAAGCCACGAAGTTTTAAATACTGAAAGGAAATTTTCAAAACATCATATTGAAACAAATTATTAGAGGATAAATTAGAATTACATAATGGAGAAGATTTTTTCCAATAAATTGTTTGCATTTTGATATTTATATTTAAAAAAAAAAATCAGCAATTGAAACTTTATAGCTCATTTTAGTTTTGCCTGAACGTACTTTTTCTAAAGTTTAAATTAGTTAGGGAGATGAAACAAAAATGAAATGTGATGAAAAGTTTCTTTCACAGTATATCGCCCTTTTAAGGATCTTATTCAGAATACTGCTTAAATCTGATCAGTATTTTCCAAAATAGAATTTTCATAGAGTAATTCCCTCCTCTACTAATTTTTGAAGAGTGCAACTTAAATAGAGGAGTGAACTTCTGAATTGAAACTATGTTTCACTGCCATACAATATACTATGACAAAAATGTTAATTATGCAAATTAAACATTCTAAAACTTTTGATTGAATATTTAACCAGAACCATTATTCTTATTTCTTTATTTTGATTTATTTATTTCTTTCTTTATTTTTTTAACACTTCAGGATGATTACACTGAGGCTTCAAAAAAAAAATTTTTTTAATTTATTAAACATAATTTTTCAGTGTATTTTAAACTCATGCCACAATTGACACCTTCATTGGTAACATAAAAAGGTATCTTTCTTAAGACAATTTGGAAAGGCCCAAGAAAAGCTCACTTTTTAGAATTAATTCTTATTTGAGTTGCATAACATCTTTTCTACAAGTAGCTGTAGTTATTAGCAGTGTTAGAACAATAACCATGTCTCCTTAATTTAGGATACATGAAAAGGGTCTCATTAGCTCAAATTAGAGCAATTTAAACTAAAGTAAAGGGGAATATTTTCACTTCCGGTAAAATTTTTAAGGGATGAAACTCAAATCTGATGCTTGAAATACACGTCTAGCTGCATATTGTTGACCTCTGTTTCTGATTTAGGGGTTTTCTTATTATCTTGATATCCAAAAATCAATTAGCAATTTTTTTTTAGTTTAGAGAGCAATCTTTTGAGTTTTGAAGGCAGTGGGAATTATTCTGTTACACATTTCACTGGTTGGACAAATCTCTATAAAATTCTTTGTTTCCAAAGCTGAAAAATTTCCTTAAGTAAGAAGGTTGAAAACAATCTATGGCATTAAGGATGCCAAAATAGAAAAACATTTTAAAATAGAATTTCAAAAATTGCTTTTGAAACTTTTACAACATTGCATAGAAGTCCATTACAACTGATGGTAGTTATTTTGAAACTTTAAATGGATATGTAGTTCTAATATTTACAGGAGTTATTGAATAAGTCATTGTTGACCGCACGCTGTATACGAAGTACAGACAAAGAAAGTAAGTGTGTTTTAATGTTATATCGAAGTAACTCTTAAAAATCTTATTTTACGTATGCAGTTGCACAATATCAAAAATTTTAATTACCTGAATTTTTTTTAAAAATTAACTTAACAAATAAAAAAGTCTTTAATATTTTTTAAAACAGATACTTTACATTTTTTCCTCACTTTACAAATGACTAATATTTATAAACAAATAAGTTCTCAAATTTCCAGATTTGTTTTTTGATATAATTTGACTTTTAATTTAAACAAAAATGGAACAATACTAGTCTTATATTCTTCAAATAGTATTAAAGCTGTACATGAGAACGCTTTTTTAATAAAAAATTTTTATTTGGTAAATATGAATTAATACAACATTTTTACTTACCGTTACATTTTTTATCCAATATCATTTGAGACAGCTTTTTTTCAATATGCTCCTAAAAAAATTTATAAAAAAAGTAATGAGTTAGGTATTCAAAAATAAATCACAATTTTTAAATTGAGGATGATTTCTAATACATAAATTCATACAAAAAAAAAATAGAGTAGTATAAAAGAAACTGGGTCTTAAAAAAATCTTTTAAGATACACAGGCTCAGTATAAGTATAAAATTTATTCCAATGTCTAATCAGTAATAATTGAAAACAACTTTCTTTTTCAATTAAAGTTGATATTTTCATACAAATAAAAAATTACTAATTATTTTACTTATGAGATTTTTCAAAATATTACCAATCTGCCAAAACTGAAATAAAAAACTAAAACAATTACTAAGATTAAGTTAAATGACATTCATTTACATGAACCAATTTCACTGCATAAAAGAATGAATAGTATTCGTTCAGACAATATAAGATTTTATAATAGTTTTAAAGATAACCAACAACTAAAAAACTGTTCTGTAAAACTAGAAAAGAAAAATTCTTACAAAAAAAAATTTTTTTTTAAAAATAAAAGGACAACCTACCAAAGGTAAATTGATGATCTTTGCTATATGTTGAACCTGAAAAATAATTAACGCCAATGTGATTAGGAAGTAAAAGTAACTGATACAACCAAACAAAATAGAATTAAATAGCAAAATGTGTAAATGTAACTACAGGGTGTGACAAAAAAAGTAGTTTCAAAGTGGCCACCTTTTGCAGCGATGCAGAGACAAAAACGCTTATTTAAATTTTCAGAAATAGGCCACAAGACTTTAACTTTAGAAAATTAAAGCTTTTGCACAATAGTGTACAGAACAAATAAACGATTTCACACTGTTGTTTTCCGAATGAAACAACCCTTAAATAACAAAAAAAAAGCTTGCTTGAAATTGTAAAAAATCCACAAAAACAATACTTAAACTAAAAGATATATTCAGGGTATCTGCTACATTTTAGATTTTCAAATTCGTGACTTACCATGACTAATTCCAGGAATGTTTCATGACTTAACGAAGTTACTATTATCTCTGACAGAAAAACAAAAATTTAAAAAAGCATTATAATAACATTTCACTGAAATGATAGGTATAACCAAAACTGTTATACTCTGCATCTTCATATTTATAGATTTCAAATTTAAAAAACAGAGTAAAGAAGAGTTGGAGCAATAAAATAGCTGAAAAAAATATAAAAGCAAATAATTTTTTTTTTCTTTTTTTCTGCAGAATTACATTCTAAAGATACTTTTCTTGTTCACCGGAAAGGAAAAAAATACTCCTGATTTTTCTGTTCCAATTTCAGGATAAAAAAATTCGCCAATGACTGGCTTGCTTCAGCTAAAATTTTAAATTTATAAAGTAAAAAAATTAACAATAATAAAAATTCTGAAATCACAGAATTTTAAAAGATAATTCGCTCTAGAAATGTTTTTCCTTTCATTTCTTGAAAAAACACCATAATTTTTAAAGAACACAATAAAAACATTTTATATCTTAATCAAATATGACTGAGTGAGGATTTTGTTACAAATTCAGATATTCGGAACACTAGGGGGTAGATTCCATTTTAAAAATTAGATTTTTCGGCGACCTAAATCCATGACTTTTCTTAATTTTTTTTTAAAAAAATAGTTAAAATCATAACATTTCATGACAAATTTTGTTCAATACCGAAATTCATGACTTTCCACGATTTTTCAGGTGCGCGAATACCCTGTATATTATAAAATATTTTTTAATTAAAGTGGTAGATGAAAAGAAATGAACAAACTAAAAAGAAACTAGTTAACTTCTATTCTATGATACAATAACTTTGTCCAAGGTTTTTTGTTGCACCTAGTATTACATATGAAAAGGTTAGGCTTATTTCTTTTAATATTTGGCACATGTATAAGGTAAGAAGTTCAAAAATTTCTTCTATATCTACCTTTTCTCTAGAAAACGACAAAAAAAGAAAATGCTTTGTGCTGAACATGTGTGTACTGTGCAGATAATAAGAACATTACTCCACGAATAACTTTTTATTTGTGGATTAGATTGGAACATACTAAAGTGAAATGCTAATGGCTTGAGGGGCTTACATATAGGATACTATAATTTAATTTATAAAAAACTAAATTTCCCTGAATTAAGAAGCTTTTTTCATGTATTTAAAGCTCAAATTAAAAATTCTGTTTGTGCTTTTAAAAAAAACTTGAGAAGTACTTGTTAAAGTTTGATTAGAAATAAGTAAAACTAATTTCATGCAGCAAAATATTATTTTACAAAATATTAAATGCCTAATTATAAAGTTAGTTAAAATTCAATTGATTAGTTCCTGAGAAATGAATATTCACAAATAGAAAGTTTTTGAACTTACATACAACAGAAAGTAGTTAAACCCATTTTGTACATTCAAATTTTAAATTTTATCATTTAAAATTACACTGTTTAATAGGATTTACAAATGTTAGCATCTCACAATTATTATTATCTAATATCTATAGTTAATTATTATTTTATATCAACTTTTATAACATGATATATAATTTCATTAATATGGAAATAATTATTAATTCTAATTCGCTTATTTGCATGATTAAGTTTTATAAATAATTTGTAATATTTTTCAGTTTTTTGCAAATTTGTTTCAGAAAGTGCAAGAAGTTTAAATAACATTAAAGGCCCCAGGGTTTCAACTGACCTCCAGACTGAACTATTGGATATACAAAAAGTGGACTAAGTATTGCTGCTATATCAATTTCATAGATGCGATATAACTTTATTTATTTTTTACAGAATATCTACCATATAAAACTTTAAATGTGTCAAAAAGTTTAGCATATTTTGAAAGATCATAATCAAAGCTTTCAATATCAAGAACCAATTCAATATTAATGGAAGTATTGTTAATATCTATGTATTATACATAAAGTATGAATTATACATAAAGAGGAATAAATTGAAGCTTGCTAATTTTCTTTTAAAAACATTAATTTCAAAACATTTTGTTTCAAAGCTACCATTTATCTTTTTAAATCAATATGCATATAGTGCAAACTTTATTTTTATATTTATGAAGAAATCCCCATAATTAAATTGAATTTAAATCAATTACTTTTTTAATAAAACCCATTTTTGTTATTCAAAAAGATCTTTTGATTACTGTAGATAAAGCAAGTTTTGAGTGAATACAATTATTGAAATTCATTAAAAACAATGTTTAAAAATGACAAATAGTGAAAAAAAAAATCTTAAAACTCAATCATGCTTCTGTGTCATATAGGCACACCTTCGACATTAGGATAAATGACAGGAATTGCAAAACAAAGATAATATAATTCAATAGAGGATATAGTACACTATATATATTGTACATAGCCAGACTTTTCAACAAAAAATAAGAATCTTTTAAGTACTTTTTAAGCACTCAAGAAAAAATTTTAATCACTTTCCAAAAAACAAAAAAAATTCATAATAAGGATTTGTGAAGTAATAAAAATTATTTTTTCTGTTGTTTAAAGTTCTTAATTTATAAACATAAAATCAATAAAATTCCAAAACATTTTCAAAACTTTAATAATGATAAAATAACTAGTTTCTGATAAATATTGCAGAGAAAATTCTGTAAATCAGGCATTTTTTGTAATTCAGAACAGTAATCGACATGGCAAAGGAAAAAAAAATCTCTTTTTACGATAGAAAAAAAGCCCTGTTAAGAAACTCCAAATAAATAAAAAAACACCTTTAAGGGCTTTAAAAAAAAACATAAATCAAAAATAAGCACTTTTTTAAAATGTTACGCACTCTGCATCAAATTATGTCATCTGTGTTTTGCCATTCGCGCCATTTATCCTACTGATGAAGGTGTTCCCAAGTGACAGCAAACTTCAATTAAGTTTAAATGAAAATTTTACTTTGTGATTTTTAAATATTTTTGATCAATTTTAATTTTATCATGTATTCCACAGAGAGACAGCATTCAGAGGAAATATTGTTTCTCAAAATTAATATAACAATGTTCACAATACTTCGTTCAGAGGTTAGATGAAGTTCTAGATTTGTTGAGTTAATTTGAGTTGGTTATTTGAGGAGGTTGAAAGATGGTTTCAAAAAGTAGAAAGTGAAAATGTTAGAGTACCCAAAGAAGGATAAACTTTTTACGATAATAAATTTTCAAATTATTATGATTGAGCAATTCTTTTTCCTCACTTAAATATTAATTAGTAATCCTTCACATATTTTTTTTTCTTACTTAAATTTTTAAGATAGTCATCACAAAACATCCTTAGTAAATAGATTAGACACATGCTTTGAGAAGAAGGATGCATATTGAATTAGAATATTGGTACTAGTACAAAATATTAAAAAATAGAAGAGCTAATTTTTACTTTAAAAAAAAATACCAAATAGAATGCAGTGATTTCCATTTTGTTTTAAAAATCCAGCCTAAAGAATTCTTTGATACATTTTGTATAACATAAAAAGCAGAAGTATACTTAAGACATTCTCACCTGAATCCTAGAGTAAGGCTCGATGATTCGACACAAATTTTGTTCAAGCATTGTGTCATACAGAGTATTCAAATGGGATTTAATTATAGGATCGTCAACAAGTTCAGACTTATATTTTACAAGGGCCTGAAGAAAGAGAAACAATTTTTTTTTACATTGAGGTCTGTAAGTCTTTAATACAGTTATAAATATACAGTAAAGAAAATTCTACTAATTAAATAAAATATCAATTAAATAAAAAAAATTACTTTTCATTGCTTGAATTTTTTCTTTTCACACGAACATTAGGCAAAAAAAAAAAACATTTGTAGATAAAAAATTAATTCCAAACACACACTCACACTTAATACAAACAACTAAATTAATGCCAATTAATTATAATTGATATTTAGTTGTGACCAAATAAGTGAAATATATTTTTAATAACATTTTCTTTTTTAAAAAATTTGTTGCAGAGAAGCAACAAAGATCAATTATTGTGGTTTTTGTTCAGAAATACCTCAGGAAACTATTTAAAAAACATCTTTTTTCATTGAAAAATGTCTTACATCAAGACTTACATATAAAGACTATACAAGTAACAAGATATAGAACAGTAATATAAATATATCAAAACATGTCTTTTTACATTTAAAAAAATGAATTATTCCAACTAACAATACATTCTTTTAGAAAGCTCATGCACAAAATATTAATTTGATTTTGATAATTTAAAAGAAATGACAAAGCTTTCAAAAAAATTGAGCACTAAAAAAATCAAAGCAACACACCTTTTTAAAATCCTCCATTGATCTCTTACGACTAGATGCTGCAATCGCTTTCATTGCATCAATGTTTGGACCAGCATACTTCAAAGCTAATTTTCCCATAACAATGGCATTCACTTCATCAGAACTAAAATAAAATTTTAATATAATAAAATTTTAAAATAAAATTTAATTTAAAATAAAACTTTGTTTCCATTTTTTCTTAAAAAAAAACACAATTCATAAAAAATCGAAATACAAATATGTATTTCAATTACTCTTGAAACCTTCCTTATATTGTGCAGTTGGAAATATAATTTTTTTTTATATCTAACAAAAAAGTTGCAATTAAACTAAAATGTTTTAAATGTCTTAAAATTCTGCTTGACACCTCCTATAAATTTAATTTGAGGTACTAAATTTCAGTTAAAGAATTTAAATACTATGCAAAAGAATCCCTTATATTTTTTCAGACAGAAAAATGTCTAACACTAACTAGTTTAAAAAAAGCAAATAATTGACCTTACTAGAGTTGAAACTTATTCTCCCACTGAATTAAACATAAGCCACAGAAATTTCTTAAAAGGGGACTATATTTTTTTGAAATTTAACATCAATTTCTATTAAATGGTTGATGATTGAATGATTAGTTTCATATATAAAGCCAAGAAATGTCTACAAATCCCCTAAACATTTTTTTAGTTTTTGCATTAATAAAGTTTTTATAAAAATAAATCAAAAGTAAATTTTTAACTGTCCCCTTTTAATTTTTTACTTTGCCTTTTTGATTTTTTTTAATCAGTTAGGGATCTAGATCTGCCTAAGAGACAAATATAATATATGTCTTCCAAGAATTTCTTTTTATTATAGCATGTTATATAGTGGACTGTAGTAGAGAGGAGGTATAAAAGATGATATAATAAAAGGGATGGTAGTCAACACTTCTTTCAAAATATGAACATTGCCACAAGACAATTCTTTTACATAGAAATAAGAAGAAGAAAAATTTTCGAATTAAGACTTTATCTTCATGGAATGGAATTAGGCAAAAAGAAATTAAATTCCTAAAAAAAAATATAAGAGAACTGCCTAAAAATCACTGTTCATCACTATATTTTTTAAGTTCTGACATTTTTGCAACATTCCTTTCCCTTGCGATACAAAAAAAAAAAAATCACTTTTGACTCTTATCTTACAGAAACAATAAAAAATTTATGAGAGGCCCATTAAGAGTTCATGCAGATTGAAAGCAGCAAATTACTTACACAATACTTACAGATTCAACATAATTTTGGCCAAAAGCATGTACTTCAAAGCCACCACAGCCTTCGGATTATCCACCGAGTCATATCCCTCAAAAGCTTCGTAATAATAGGAGTAGGCTGTTTTAAAATCTTTTTCATCAGCTGCATGAAGAATTCCAGACTGCAAATCTAGAGCTGCTTGCAATTTGGGTGGGCAGTAAATCCCATTTGCGGTTGTTCTTGCTGAGGTCAATGCGGCCCTGTCGCAGAAGAAACATCAAATATTGTATACAAATGTAGTGTAAATGTGAGTCACCATAATGGGAATGATGTTTAATAGACCAAAATAAAAACAATGTAATAAAGAATATAAGATGAATCATTGAAAAAAAAATACTGCATAATATCATACATCAGATATTGTTTACTTAAGCCCATTTTTAAAAATTCATATAAAATTTAGCCAAGTAAAATAAAAAGTATTAGTGATTATTATTTATCACAAAAATGTGTTTTTTAGTACATGAGTAAAACATTTCATTAAAAATTTAATGACAATTAAAAAATAAAATTTTAAATGTTAAGTCCAACTGCTTCTTTGGCCTAGTCATATTTTTTGGCTTAGTCGTATTTTGAACTGAAATTACATTGCACTGTATACATTCAACCCATTGATATGGGTTTACTTTGATTAAATAAAACTGACAATTAAAAAAATTGGTTATTTCAAAATAAGAGTGCATAACAATTTGAACTTACTAATAGATCAAAGACGAGGTTTGTAGTTATTTTGTAACAATATAGGCCTGCACCAAATTAGCTTTGAAACATAAGTAAAGATTTGACGACTTATTTAACTCGCAATTTAGTAGCAAAATAATTAGATTACGTTCCGTAAGTAAAAGCTACTTCTAAGCCAACTTGAATACAATTTTTGACAATAATCAATAGAAAACATAAAACTATAAAATCAAAGTTACTTCAATAAATAAATGTACCAGTTCAAAGGTACATGAACATAGTACAAAAATGCCTCTAGCGTCCTAAGATGATATTTCTGGCTGTAGATTGCCACGCAATTCTCAATCCTTATTATGCACCCTACCTTTTCTTAAAGCTTGAACCAATATTAATAGGACACCTTGTAATTACTAATGTTACTTTCAAACTCATTTTTAATTTTCTAGAACATATTGAACAGTTAAAAAGTTTGCAAAATTAAAATTCTTGTATCATGGGCGTCACAGGGGCCAAATTTTTGAGGGGGGCAAACTTAAATTCCTCATTCCCACAATCTCAATAATTTTATGCATGAGAAAAAAAAATTCCTAAAATAAGCTAAATACTAGCAAAAAGATTAATGATCTTTATCCCTTCCTTCATTTTTAACTTTAAGGAATTTAAATCGATAATAATTCAAGAAAATTTTCTTTATTTGTCTGAAATACTGAGGGGGATTTTGAGAGATTTCTAAATATTGAGGGAGATTATAATTGTGTTAGCGATACCACTTTTTTAACTCCTAGGACGATATATGAGCTCACAAAAGAATAAAATATAATTTTTAAGCAACTTCTTGCATTTTTAAAATTAAAAAAAATCACCTCAACTATTAGACTTAGAAATAAAAAATAACACAGCTTTTCTGAAACACCAAGGAATTCAACTAAAGATTAGTCAGGTAATGGTATTATAAAATTTTTTATACTTTAAGTTGACCCATGAATTCCCATTTGTTAAAAACAATTTTATAGTCAAACACAAAACTCTGTCATTGAAAAATAAAAACGACATAATTATTAATAACTTAAAGAAATAATCACAGATTTTTTCACCCACATATCATTATAAAATATAATTAATAGCTAAAATAATAGGAACTCTTTAATATTTTAAGAAATGTAGTATTGCCGATTCGTTGAATAGTATCAAAAATAATATTTTATGGAACTCAGAAGAGGAAGACAAACTTAAACCCCTTGTAAAATGAAACCCTTACGATGATAAGCAAAAAGTTTCCTGACAAAATTTTATATTGCCTTTGTAAAAAAGTCGTTAACAGTTTATAAGTTGACCNACCACAACAGAAAGCTCAATGCGTCTCATGGCCGTATTCGCTCCACATTTTCTGGACTTGTGCTGGGTCGTCCGGCTCCACTTTTATGCCATACTGATCCGGTGCTCATGAAGCTAGTGTGCCATGCACGGATGGAGGGTCTCTTTGGAAATTTGTCCTGAAGTGCCGTTGAACCTGTGTGTCTGATTTCGTCTCTATGAACCATGAGACGCATTGAGCTTTCTGTTGTGGTGTCCACATCCTCACTTATAAATTTTCAGCCTATTGAAAGAACACTTTATTAGTTGCAGTAATACATGCAAAAGACAGAATAAAAATATCTTGTTTATGTTCGAAGTTACGAATTTTTGAAGTTGTAAAGATAATTTTGGAACACCCTGTATTTTATGGAACTCAGAAGAGGAAGACAAACTTAAACCCCTTGTAGAATGAAACCCTTACGATGATAAGCAAAAAGTTTCTTGACAAAATTTTATATTGCCTTTGTAAAAAAGTCGTTAACAGTTTATAAGTTGACCTCCCAAATTTTATAGTAATTTAGGGGTACAAAAGTTCACAAATTGTATTAATGCGAAAATAAAAGTTGTTAAATACCTGGATTTGGGTAAATTACTCAAGGCATGGTAGACTTTGCTCTCTAACAGCTGAACTTCAACTAATAGGTTCTTATCATCCATCTTTTTCAATTCTTTCAGCAAACTGCTCCCTACCATCACAAATTATTTCCAATTACAACCAATGAAAACAATTTATTTCCTATTTATTACAACCAATTTTTTTTTTAGATCAACCAAAATAATAATAGTTACACTACATAACAATAGGGAGGCAATCCATAGATAAGAAATTAACGGAAAAAAGAGGCAATAACAACCTTCTAGAAATTGTAGTCAAATAGAAATTGTAATAAACTAATTAAATCAGGATATTAGTCATTTGATTTTTTTTTCAGTCATTGTTTTACATCATTAAAGTGGAAGAGTAATAATAAAAAAAATTCGTAATATAATTTCAAAGAAATTAGAATAGTGAGAGCAAAATATATAGCTGATCATTAACTGAAATGACATTAAAAAAAAAGGTATAAACTATAAATATCAATCAATTTTCTCCTTTCTCCTACAAGTTAGTCAATTAACAATTAGATTATTACAACATCTGCATTTTTCATTCAAGTTTTCTTTTTCCTTTTAAAAAAACTAATAAAAAAATAGAGAAAAATTACTGAGACTCCTTTGAAAAACATCTTTAAACGTAAAAAACAAAATGCAAAGAACAAAAAGTAAAGAATTTTTTTCAGATATCCTATGATAGGCTATGAATTATTTACTTGATTATGGGATTTCATTTTTTTAGTATTGTATAAATTTCAACTTAAATTTGAACATCATAAAATTTTCATTCATAACGAAGTAATATTTTCAAATTTTGTTATATATCTTAGATAAATATATGTCAGATAAAACTGAAATTTTGCAATAATTATATCTATCTGACTCACTTGGGGTTGCAGACTAATTCAAATTTATGAAGATATTGCAACAGATTCACTATGAAAATTCTGCTACATATAAACACATACGTATATATTAACTTTCTCTGATAGCCTAATTGTTTCAATTATAAATTGGTCATCTAACGATTAAGCTCCCAAAAGTCTAAATTTTATAAACTCACCCAACTGTAAAGCATCAGCATACTTCTTGGAGTCATAATATAGACCAATTAATCTAGCCTAAAAATATAAAAAATTTATGAAATATTAATCTATTTATCAATTAAAATAAAAACAATACTTTAAATATGGTGTAACTTTATCTGAGAATAATTGTTATTAAATATGCTATGAATTTTTAAAAAAAATTAGACTTTGAATTGCATATAAATTCATATTCAAATTATAAATAACAGAAACATGAAAAATAGCAAAGAAATAATTATATAAAAAGTTAAACATTAACATTAAAAAGTCGGTATTAAAATAATTAATATTAATTGGTTAGAACTTACCAATGAAAGTTTTAACTAAATAATACAAATATCAAAAGAGGCTACTATTCTGATAATTATAATATTAAGAAGGAAAATTGTTTAACACATACAGAGATTACAAATTTTGCTTCCTTTTTACAAAAATGGGAGGAAATATTTCATTTTTTACACAAGGAATACTTTGTCCGAGAATTATGCTGTTGTTTTTTTTAAAATTAAAATAAGCATTTCCTAACATAAACTTTTATTAATCCACTTAAAACAATTATAATTATTTGCGAGACCACAAAAATAAGATATTACTTGTATTTTAATATTTCACCTCCAATATTTTACAAGTAAATTAATATTCACCAGTTTAATAATTTACATTACAAGAAAGACAATCTCACAGAAAATGATTAAACTGACATAGAATAGAAAGTATCAAAACTTTTGATTCGTGACAAAAGGGATGGGAGATGACAGGATTTAACAGTAATCTATCAAATAATATAATTACCATGTTGATATTTAATTTAAATTAATATTATCCTTAATCAAACATAAAAGAAATTAGTCTTATTATCAGTATTATCCTTCAAAAAATACATTTTTAAATAGCAAAGGAAAAAAATTTGCACAATTATCATTTCATGCTTCCATTTCACCATTCTTATATCTTCCTCAACAAATATTATTCCCTCCTTCCACATTGACAACATTCCACATCCAAAAGCCCATTTTTCAATCAACTCGTTATGGAGCTCTAATTTCCAAATACAAATGAGCCAGTTTTCTCAGAAATTCTAAATTGTATATAACGCCTAACTCATCTTCAAAACTCAAAGAAAAAGAAAAATTTAAAAAGTGTAACAGTGATTCGGTAAATACAGTTTGGTTAGTAATATAAGAAAATGTTGCACAAAATTGAAAAAAATAATTAATTTAACTGCATACTGAAGAGCCTTATCTTCATTTTTAAATACATATATATTTCTATGGTTAAAAGACTGCGCAAATGACATAAAGTTTAACTTGCCAAAGCATTATTTTTATATTATCTCTATATTAAACAAAATTACTGGGGGGTCACCACTGTTTCAGAAAATTTTTGACGAGCATTTCTTATATTATTGTTCTCACTCTCACTCAAAAACTATATTACATAAATCTATGTTATTTATAACTTATACTTCTTTAAAGTTGCTCTTGATGCTTCTTTATTATATGTAAATATAATTGCCTGGGCTTATTTATGATTCAGCAAATTCGAAATTTTATTCGGCAAAATGGAATTTCCCCCTCTCAAAAATATAAGTTCACAGTGACCATGCTATTGATGTTAATATTAAAAAACTTTAGAACAAACAATAATTATTATCAGAAAATAAATTCAAAATATCACTTTTACATAAATTTTAACTACATTTGAAAAGAAAAAAAAAATTTTTATTTTATACATTGCATTCATTATAGTTTTAATTTAAATTTAATTTTAAAATACAATGAAATAAATATTAAAACACAAAATACCTCTAATGATTGCCTTAAAAAGGTCCTTTTCTCCTGTTTTGCCCACTCAATACATTCTAAACATAGATCCACCTATAAATTTGAGATATTACAAAGATATTATTTAATTACAATCTTTAAAAACATAAAATGAACTGCAAATTGAATGAGACTTCAAAAATATTTCCAAAATTAGGGGAAAGAAAATTTTCCGATTAAATAATGAAATGAATATCTATAAACAAAATAAAATGAAGATTTTTGTATCTGTAAGCATGACAAAATAGTCATAAAATTTTAGATACAACAGGGCAACGATATAAGAGAAACTGAAAAAAAAAAATCACAAAATTAGGCTTACTCACAGCTAATGCCAGGCAAGCCAATATATATATAAAATTTATTGCCAGCACAAAGAAACATCACTGGCACTTGGCAAATTTAGTTGAAACAGACTTCAATATGGAAACATCCCGATGAAATTTTTTTTTTGAATCTTATGAATATTAAAATTAATTTAAACATAATTTTATTAAAAATAGATCACGTAAGAAAGTACCTCCATTCCAGTGCCAGCTTCCATATCCAGAAACAAATCAACAAGCGCTCTAATTACTTTTGCAGCTTTTGCCTTGCTAATTTGGTTCAAAAATGGTCTAGTTGTTTTAATTAGATTCGCCAACTCTGCAAATGAAAAAAAAAAAAGAAACAGTTGTAAAAAATATTTACTAAATACATTAAAGAAGTTGATTTCAAACTTTTTTGTTTACCACACATCTAAAGTAGCTTATACAGTGATAGGATTCAGCTGATAGGCATGCATCGATTCTTAAAATTTAAATAGTTTTGTATAACTCAAATAATAATAAATTACCTCAAACAAATTTAAAATATTTTTCAAATTTAAATAAATTTAAAAGCGAAATAAATAAACAACTTTTTTTTAAATATTTCACTATTTGTTTTCTCAAAGAAAAAATTTCAATCACTAATAAAGATTAGCAGTTCTTTATTTTCAATCCATCACTGAAATTATGTCACTTACTTTCAATATTATACAATGTCTAAAATGGGTGCTTTTTTGTTGGCCGCGAGTCAGCTAAGAGTCGACAAAAGATGTAGACATCTGTCAACTTATTTTTTTTAAATATAATTTATTTTTTATTTAATTTATTTTTCAATCATATAAAAATTTAAATAAAATAAAAAAATTATTGAACTTCCTTGTGTATGGCTAACTGAAAAGTACCCTAAAATGATTGACTTTTAAAAGTTCAGTTCACAAAAACTATTAAACCAACTGAATTCAAAATTTGCTTTCACCATTCAAAATGACATAGCTTAAAATGAAGTAAAAATTTGTACACCACACAATCACAAAAATTTTCAACTACAATATTAATAAAATAATAAAAAATTATCTTTAAAAATTGTATTCTGCTTAACCTATTTAAAAAATTTTTAACTGCAATCTTAATAAATTAAAGAATAAAAAATTATCTCAAATTTTACTCTGCATTATCTGTCTTAGGATAAATTAACTTTATGATTTGATTTACTAAAACATTTCTTGAGACATACGTCAAAATACGCAAAAGAAAAATGAACATTAAAGAGCCCAACTTACAATCACTCACTTCACTAAATTGTTGGGTCCATATTTTCTAGATTATCGTTGTCCTAGATATTTTGAGGATCAAGAATTTAAATTTTTTGAAGGGAAAAAAATAATGTGTTTTTACTTGGGGTGTATTTTCTACCTGATTTTGAAACTGAAAACATTATCCCCACAAACCAAATAATACTTAAAGTTAACTCCTCAAACATTTACATTACATCTTAATATATGATGTGAATGTCATAATCATAAAAGCATTAAATTATTAAAAATCAAAATATTAGTACACACAGTGCCTTTTTTTTCTCTCTTTCCAGTTTTTAATATTTCTTTCTATCTTATTTTCAGCACAAATTATCTACTTTTTTTCTAAAAGGTGAATAAATTATTTTTAATAACAAAAAAAAACTAGAACAAACTTGCAACTAAAATCTTTTCTTTTTTTTTATAAATACATACCAGTAGCTTTACCAGATTCACTGAGTTGACGAGCAAGATCTAGGATATTTTGCTCGGTGACCAAATTTTCTTCATCCTTTTTCTGTTCGATTACTGGAAAAATTGCAAAATTTTGAATGATGGAGAAAAATATATAACACGAATAATAAGAACTGGATATTTAAATTTATATTTAAAAGTTGGATTCTTTTGCTGTTTTAACATTTCATTTGCATAAGTAAATTAAGAGTTGTAATTCAAATTAAGGAATACAAGAAAGAACTGTCAGCAAGAATAATAGTGAATAATTATTTTGAAGTATCAAAAAGAACAAATTAAGGTCTGTATCATTCAGCCATCAGGAGATAGAATAACATGAAATCATATGGTAGGCTCTAAAGGCACACATAGAGTGTATTCTGCTGTGCAATAAAAAAAATTTATGTAAGAGACAAAAAATTTAAAATTGAGATTATTATATATTTTTGAAAAATATGCAACTTAAAGCAAAAATTCTTTTTTTCCAAAATAAATTTCATTTTAACAGTTTTTTGGAATTCTATTTTATTGTCCATAACATTAGAAATTGACAGAAAATGGTTGTCAAGCCAATTTTCTCAAAATCTATTATAAAGCATTTGCATTCTTTTTTCAATTAAAAAAATTTTTCTGGAATAAAAATTTTCCAAACCTTAATAAAAAAAGCAAAAGCTAATGTTTTGAAGAAACTAATTCATTTAATTTTAACAAATGTTTTACTTTAATCTTTAATAGAGACACCATCTAATTTTAACTGATTTTCTTAATTCTACTTGAAATATCAAATTGTGTTGATATAACAAATAAATTATATCTTATAACAATTAATAAATATCATTTTACTGTGAAATTTTTGTTTATCAATGACATTCCAGCGTACTTCTACATGTTTTTGGCCTAACATTTGTGTGTGCAGAAAATTTTTTGGTTTTATACTACTTTGCTGGCATCAATACTGTTTACTGTGCCACTTAAAAGAAAAAAGGCTGAACGAAAAGCAAAACAGAGATTTAGGGTTACCTTATTCAAAGAAAAATTCAGAATTTAATACAGTTGAACCTCGATCCAATGTTCCCATTGTTCTCCCACAAATACATATGAGAGAACAGAAAATCTTGTTTAATTGGTCGCATCACAAATGCTATTCTTACAACATTAATACTAGTTAAGATTGGTTCTGAAACTAGAAGATTCTCACATCTATTGTTAAGAAATTTTACCGGCATTTACAAATAAAATGTAATACATTTTATTTTGAGAAGAAAATAAGTAGCTAACTCACAATGCGAATAATGAATAAGAAAATGAGGATTTGGAAAATCACATTAAACATTATATTTGATATTTATGAATCAGGTACTGAAAATGTTGAAGCAAGTGGTTTGTTGATTTTAAAAACTGATGAAGTACACGATGATAGCAATGAAAGGGGTGAAACAAAACCACAACTAGTGCCAAAATTTTCAGATGGCTTCGAAAGAATTAGTAACTTACTGTAAGTATTCACTCGAATTTACAAAAAAAAAAGAGAACATCTGTTATAAATGTTTTGTTTCAATTGCGAAGAGAAGACAAACAAATTATGATATATTTTAAATAAATTATTGTATGCATTCATCTTTTTTTTGTATCATAAATATTATTGTTGATGAAAGTACCTACATGATTTTTTATTTTTTTTACTTCTCGTAAATTTAATAATTTTCAATTTACTTTTCTTATTTAAGTCATTGTTTGATATTTTATATTGATACAAATTCTCTGGTTTACAATGGACAATCATATGATAAACGATTGATCGAGGCTCTACTGTTTTAAAGATTGTCAAACTGTACTTCGTGCATAGTGTTATAACTTCGGGTTTCTTTTTTACAAAATTTTAAGTTAAAAACTTGCTTGACATCTTATTTTGTGTATTGTATTGAGCAAGTTAACAATTAAACCTTTGTCAAAAAATAATTCCAATTTTTTACTCAAAAAGAGTTATATGCATTATATAAGGAGCATTCGAAATTCTTGAAATGGGGTCAAAAAATACTTCATATCACTTCACATTTATTTTCATAGTAAATTAAATTGAGTAATTTTTCTTATTGTTTCCTAATTCGTGAATGAAATTTCCAGTGACATTTTATGTTGAAGTTTCTTCGAGGTGGTTTCATCATTTATTTTAGAGTACCGGAATTGTTATCGTCACCACTACAAAAATATGCTGATTCAGTACTTTAAAAACAGGTTATACATAATAGAATACATAAATAAATTCCATAGAAAATAAGAGAGAAAGAGAAGAGTCAGCTTTTTTTATGATTAACAGCAAGTAACTTTTTTCTTTTATTACTATTCATTGAACCAATTTTTTAATTATTTTCTTGCGATTCCTTTATCTACCAGGATTACTTTCAGTCAAGACAAGTATAAATAGATAATTTCATCTGGAATTTAAAAACATTTTTATATCAATTATTAATACCAAAATGTGCACTACAACTATTCACGAACAAAAGTATTTAAATGAATAATACTTCAGATAGTTCTAGAAACACAATTCGAACATTTACCTATCTTCTTTAATTGTTCTATCTCCACTGGTTTCTTAACAGACTTTAATTTTTCTGATCTTCCGACAACTTTAGTAGCTCCTGCCATTTTGAAATATAGACTTTTTGTTCAATAGAATTTCAAATTTTCTCTTATTTTATTAAATTCAATTCACGCACAATAACTCCGTTACGCGAACTGTTTTGTTTATATTTTATAAGTAGCCCTGTAGCCAAAAGATATGCTGAAAAATTTTTTTTTATTAAAGTCAAACTCAAAAACAAAAGATAGGGAAAATGTTTCAGTTTTTCGGTGTTTAAAAAATTAGCAGTGTGTTTTTAACCATTAAAAGTTAAAAATTATTCTTTCCATAAAAAATGCGTAAATATAATATGGAACCTATAAATGGGCGTTCGTTTAAATCCTTCATATTACAAAGCATTCTCAATGATATTAGCAACTCATTCAACTGTTTGAGTTTATACCTGGCAATTCATTTTATGACTAAATTCAAATATTGGTAACCTAAAACAGTCTGGCAACCCACTAATTATTCGAAAACAACAAGTGTCAAATTTTTAAAATCGTCTGCTGCAAGTGTAAAAATAATTATTTTTGTTTATCACTAAAAGTTCTACACGGAAAAGCTTTGATCTTCTCTTTCTCTTTACACTTGACATTAAAAAAGTCATTATCTACATTATTTTCTCCCCGGCTTTTCTGATCCAATCAAATTGTTTATAATTTATTTTCCTTCTAAATGGATTTGATACGTTGATAAAAGTTATAAATTTTGTTCTTAAAACAGCTGTTAAAGCCCATTATCTTATGCTAAATCAGTCGTCGTGTACTTCTGTTTGTATCAAAAGCATTTACCGGTATACCGGCAGTATGTTTTTTCAGATTATACTTTTTGCGGTGTTAGCTCAAACTTTTGCTGATGAATCTTGTTATTCTTATGGAGGCGGGCACGTTTATCCCCATGAAACAACAAGATCAACTGTTGGACAAAATTATGCTACAAGCAAAGCACAAAGTATTTTTTTTTTACGTTCTATAATTTTAATGTCTGCTTGCTATGACAATTGTTACACTAACTTTTTTTCTATTTTTACAAGCTTTAATCTTATTGCATACTGTACCTTCATTTGAAATGATATTCCCTTTAATTTTTACTCTCTCTACACTGTATATTTTAAATTGCATGAAACTTGTTTGATTTTTAAATACATTTTTATGAAATTAAATCTTTAAGAAGGTGCATCTGGTAGCAATAGAAAGTTATGCCAGTCTTAAGGTTTATAATTTAAAGTTTATTTTTTATTGTAATTTTCAAAGCTTTGTAGATGCTTCTATTGTTATAAGAAAATTAATGTCAAATGTGCTAAATTGAATTTAAAATTTGTAGTGTATATCTTTAAATCTGCAGCCATTTAGTCCAATGCAGCTAATTTTTTCAACAAGCTTTTCTTTTCATTATAGTTTTAAAAGGTATTTATTAAAACTGTTGTTAGTTGAAAATTAATTTTAAACTTATTTTATACTAAATGTTTTGCAGTTTCCAAACCTGCACCTAATTGGGAAAGTACAGCTGTTGTTAATGGAGAATTTAAAGAATTAAAGTTGCAAGATTTTAAAGGAAAATACTTAGTGTTTTTCTTTTATCCTCTTGATTTGTGAGTATATTTTAAATAGTATAATTTTTGATTTTAAAATTATTACATTTTATATGTTATTTAATTCAGAACTTTAGATCAATATTTTTTTTTATTAATCACTTCCAAATATTGTTACTTCAAATTATTCTCAAAGTGAGTGAGTTGAATGCAGTCAACACTTTCTTAACAGTGCAGTCACATCAGGCTACATTTCTGTTTATGATATGCAAGGTACTCGTGACCATGATGTGGAAAGATAATTTTTTTTTCCTTTGTCAAACTTAATAAACTGCACCATTTGTTCAATGTGCTTATATTATACAAATGTTTACTTTTAGCAGACCACTAATCAATTTTTACTAAATAATTATAATTCAACCCTAAAAAATTTGGTTATTTTTTAATTAAAGAATGTTAAAAGAAAATTGATTGGTTTTGCATATATGGATAATAAGTTTTCAGTTAATTGTGATTATAATTTTTTTTTAACATTATTTTATAAATTTGATCAATTTTTGCTTTTAGGGAATTCTAGTTGCTTTATCTGTTAGTTGTGAATATTATTTAGCTATTTGAAACTGTAACCTATTTTTTATGTAATTATTTCATTTAAAACATTTTCACTGTTTGATGAACAAAAGCATCTTTGTATAATTCATTTATAAGAGCTTGCTTTTCTAACCATTACTTAAGTATCGATTTACTTAATTACTTAAAATTGTTCTTGAGGCTAGCAGAGACACAAGTCAATAAATCTAAATTTAATTTAATTATCTCTGATATTTCACAATTGTAAATAGACTTGAATTAAAAAAAGAAACTTGGGCATTTTATTTGAACAATGTTTTATTTCTTTTCAGCACATTTGTATGCCCGACTGAAATTATTGCATTTAGTGATCGTATCAAAGAATTTCATGCAATAAATACTGAGGTGGTTGCTTGTTCAGTAGATTCACAGTTCACTCATCTGGCATGGTAAGGCACTGAATTGGTAACATTTCTGTTTTTATATTTCTCATTATCTAAGCCTTGTTATAAATACAGTTTATTGTATCACAAGGATTCAGTTTTAAAAAAAATTGTTGTGATAAAAATTGGGTTAATTGTTTTTATCTTTGCAGAATTGCGTATAAGATGTTAGATTAATTTTCAAATACTATTAATTAGGTATTGCTTATTTATTTTCTTTAAGATTTCTTTATTGAAGGCTTAATTGAGACCATGTGTAATTCTGGAGTTATTTTGTCACACAAATTTAGGCTCTACAAAAGTTTCCAACTGGAATATTTTACTCTAAAATTTAAAAGATAAATTTTAAAAAATAAGAATTTAGCTAATATTTTAATTTTGAGGAGCTTTTAGCAGGGTAAGAAATCCCATTGTACTATTTATTGAGGAACAGAATTTTTTAAATGTATATTTTTTTTTTTTTTTAGAATTTTATTTTCTTTTATTTGAATTGTAAATTTCTATGTAAAGAAATAGCATGCTGTTATTTATAATTGAAAAATTGGGGGTATTTCCGTATTGTGATCTGCCATGCCAACTACAATTATCCAAAATTGTTAGAAGAAAGCTTCTTTCTTTGACGAAATAAACAATAGAAATGTGGAAATTGAGCTGACTGAAATCGCTTGTGAGCAAAAGAGGTGTATGGTTGGTTTAACTTCAATTTTAGGTGCTTTCCAAAGATCATCCAATCTGTTTTTTTCCACTCAGTGCAGATTAATTTTTAAATTTGAACAATGATGTGTTGTTGTTCAGTGGTGCAAATTTAAACTCATTAGATGGGCTGAGGTCTGTATGCCTGCCAATAATTTTCTTTAAAAAATAAGTAAACAAAATTAACTGATTATTATCTTAAATAATTTCTTTATGAATTAATTTTTATATATTTCTAAGAAAAATTTTTCATTTGATGTTCACGTAACAAGTTTAAATTATGATTAGTTTTAAACATGTGCTTTTATAGTTCAAACTGTCTATAACAATAACTTCTCAATAACAATATTTTATCTAGGTCCTTAGGTCATTATAGACAAGTTTTACTGTATGGGACATTTTATGTTGGAAATGAAAATATTGAGATAATTTGTGTATGTTCATTCAAGTAATGAAAAAACTTATTTTTTTCAACTTGACATTTAAAATTTGCAAGGGCTATCAACAAATTGAGCTATAGACATGTTACTTGATTAAAAACTTCATTTAAAATTTACTAATTCATTTGAAATACATTAAATTTTATTTAAAATGCATCCATTCAAAATGTACTAATTGGAAACAGTTGGCATGTTTCTAGTGCTCAAAAACAGACACTCATTTTCAAGACTTGCCAGACATGCATGAGAAGAAACAAATGTGATTTGAAATATAAAACATTGCCAACAAAAAATAAAGATGAGAAAAACTAGAAAAAACCACAGTAGCCAAGAGAGGATAAAAGCAGAACAAGAAAAACCGCAGTGTCCAAGAGTAGCAAATCAGGGTAAAAAGCATTTCCATGCATTATGGAGAGGTGTTCTGTTTTTTATCTTTTGTTCTCTCTGGTCTACTGTGATTTTTCTAGTTTTGTTTCTCACTATTTTTTTTTTTTTTCATTTTTTGTTGGCAACTTTGTGTTTTATATTTCAAATCACTTTTGTTTCTTCTCATTCACATCTGACAAGTCTTCAAAATGGGCACCTGTTTTTGAAGGCTTGAAATATGTCTACTGTTATTTCAAGTTTGTATATTTTTTAAATGAGTGAAGTAACATATTATTGCTTCAGTTTTTTTGGGATTATTTATTTAATGTAGACATTATGTTTATAGATGATTGACATCTAACTTTAGTATAAGCATTTTGTTTTAATCTAGTCTGGCTTAATTGAATAGTTTTTTATTTTTTTTATTTCATCATATTTAATTACCTTAAAGTTTTTTTTCCCCTTTTCCTTGTACTTTTACTCCTTTTATTTAAATCATTTTAAAATTTCGAAACATTTGTTGTCAAAGTTGGTTTTATTTTAAACATATTTTTCTTTGATACATAAAATTTTTTTGTTAATTTCTTTTAGGATAAATACTCCGAGAAAAGTAGGTGGACTTGGACCTTTAAATATTCCTCTATTATCTGATCTCACTCACCAAATTTCAAAAGACTATGGAGTTTATTTAGAAGATTTGGGTCATACACTGAGGTATATCTAGAATCTTTTTTTTTTATATATAATCTAAAATTTTTTGAAAAATCATATTTTTTATATAATCTATGGATTAAAATATAAGATGTTGATAAAGAAAATTTATGTATATTTAGTTTGTTTTTTTATTATATTTTGGACAAAAATTACTTTCTGACAGTCTGCATCTAATTTGGACTGTACTTGCAACAAAAGCTTAATTTTCTCCATACTTTTATGACTGTAATCTGTTAGATCTATAAATTTTTTGATTTTAATATTGATTGATGTCTAATAAAACCTTTAAATAATATAACTTATTTCATATTCATTATTCCAGCTTTTTTTTTAAATGAATAAAATTAATTTCGTATTTTTTTACAAGATAATATATTTTATAAAGGAATGTTTCCAAGTTTTCCAAAACACTAATTTGCATTTAACTAGAATTAAAATTCACAACTTTCTTTAGTGAGATTCATTGCAATTTTTTGTTATGAAGTGAGAAAAAGTACATGGTTATTAAATTTTTTCTTATCAAGATATTATATTTTAAATCAGAATATTTCTTTTAATTGAATTTATGTGCTTTAAATTTTTCCAATGTGAGGGAATTTATAGTTATTTTTTCTTTTATAATGTTTAACAAGGTCAGAATATTTTATTACAGTGTCTACTAATTTATTATTATTGGTAAAAGAAAGAAATGCAAATAATAATTTAATAGTAATGCATTTATTGACTAAAACTTTTCTTTTATATTTTAAAAATTTCAAATGTGAGTAAAATTCTACAAAATTTTGATCAATCCGTGTTATTTACTCAGTATGTTACATTGGAAAAACTTGTTTTTTGTTGCTGGAAAGCCATTTGTTTAATGTTCAGAAAAATCTAGTGCTGATACTCAGATTTGTTTTTTAAGTCTTCTAAATAGTAGTTCCAAATAAAAAAAATTTATTTCTCATTTCTTTTCCATTCCGTTATAATTTTTTATTAAAACTGAAATGTGCTTTGAGTTTATTAAAATGTATCTTAATGTTTAATTAAATGTAATGTTAATTAAAATGTATTCTACCTAGCATAGTTTAACACTAGAGAAATCTTAATTTTATTCCAGCTAGATGAATTTATTTAGTAGTAAACTAAAAAGAGTTTTTATGTTCTGAATTATGTTCCATAAGCATTTAGTACAATTAAAATTAGTTAATCAAAATTAAACCTGAATTAAAATAGACCTTAATTTGAAAATTCAATCAAAAGTGTAACTCAATTTCTTAATTAAAGATTTGGGTACCTCAAATTCACTTCCTTTCTGATTTACATTAGGACGTTTGAAAAATTGAATTGATAGTTTAACTTTGCTTACTTTTGTTATGATTTAATGAATTAAATATTTAACCAAATATTTAATATAGATTAATTAACTATAGTAATAGGATTAAAATTAATGTTTTGAAATAAATAAAGTTAAAATAAAAATTACTCAAACAACAGTATAAAATGCTTCTACTAAATAAAATTTTCATTTCTAAAAATTTTTTCATTTAATATTGTTAACATATGTTATATTACTGCATTCAAAAATGTCTTACATTTAATCTCACTTGGTGGGGCACTTGTGGCTGAACCTTATCAGTCATGTCATTTATGTTTGGGTTGTAACTTATTTTTTTTATTAACACTCACAAGATTCACTTAAATCTGAAACAAGGCTGTTTTTACTATTGATAATAATATCTAGTTTATTATTAAAATACCAGCTCAAAATATAGTGCAAATTTCATGATAGTTTGAAATTTAGTTTGGGTTACTCTTTGCATGTACTTTCCAAGAAAAAGGATATGAACTTCCATTGTAAAGAGAGTACTATAAACAACCTTATATGACCCGGAAAATGTCTCAATGACACCAAAAATTGAACACGTTTCTGGATCTGCTTATAATTGCCTCAAGTATTAAAGATATTTAGTTTTTTTTTTCTTTTGAAATATTAATTTTAAAAGAAATTTAATGCATGCTTCTTGTGTGCCATTGAAATAACTATTTTTCCACTCAGTGGCATGCTTGCCATTGGTTCGCTAGCTCCGATTTAGGCCATTTCTTGAACACTAGTTGCATAAGTCTTTGATTAAATACATATAACCTAGATAATAAAAAAATTTTGTTCAGCTAATATTATTTTTCTTAAAATTGACACCATTATATTGTTTTATGTTACATGTTACATATTCATGACACATGTTACATATTCATATGTAACATTTCAATAAAACAATATAATAGTGTCAAAAAAACAATATAATGTATACAATGTTTCATATTTCAATTCATTTTCAATATTATACAATTCATTTTCATATTTCAATAAAACAATATAATGTATACAAAGTAATGTTTTGTAAATAGGGGATTGTTCATCATTGATGAGAAAGGTGTGCTGAGGCAGATTACCATGAATGATTTACCAGTTGGTAGATCTGTTGATGAGACTCTGAGACTTGTTCAAGCATTCCAATATACAGACAAGCATGGAGAGGTATGTCCAGCTGGATGGAAGCCCGGTGCAGATACAGTAAGTTTTATAAATCTCTTAAGGAATCATGGTCTGTTTTGCAAACAAAATCTCTTTCATGAGCTACTAGCAAATATAATTTTTACATTTGGTAGATTTTTCTGATAGTAGATTGAGATTCTCTTTGTGTGAAATTGAACATACGAACTCAGCCCCATTCAATAGACTGTTGCTTTTTTTTTTAATCATACAATTTTTCCATTTTTAATATTCTGTGCCACATTTAATTTTAAGAGTGTCACAACCAAAATTTAGGGAGGCACTGCTCTAGGCTGAGTAATTTAAATAAAAGTAAACAATAATAAATTTTAATCTAAAAAACTAGTATTCATATTTTCAATTGAATTTTTAAACTTATTTTATTTCATTAAATAATATTGTATTATTTGAAATTTATTTAATGGGACCCTTCGTTTAAAAAAGTTACATCCCTGTTTATTGTAATAATGTATTATGTATGTGTGGTTGATCTATTGTTAAAGCTCACATTATTAAATTAATCTACTGTAAAAATAGTACTCAACTAAGAGATAAATTCTGGAAGCAAAACATGTGTTTTTTGTAAAACAAACTTATTTTTGCTGTTGTAATTTAATATAACTTATATTTTAATCCTGAAATGAATAACATACTTTTACAGGAATGTTTAATTTATTTTATGATAGCACTTCAGGAATTTATCTTTGTTAGATACCTACAAATATCCTTGACCCTAAATAGCTCTAGTGACTTTTTTATTTTTGGTAACTTCCTTATTGTTCCTGTCACTTTGTCATCAACAGTTTTGTAATTGTTGAAATTTGCTAACTTTAGAACATGTTTATAACTTTTTTTTTTTACCTTTTGTTTGGTACAGAATAAATTAGTTTAATTAAATGCCAAATTCCACTTTCAAATGACCATTATCACTGTTCCAGTATATGTTAGGCTTATGCTAAAGATAAAAACATCACATTGTTCTTATTTTATGCATTAATGTTTTTAATCCGAGTTTATTAAAAAAGAAAATGTATTGAATTTTTTTTAATTTATATTTTTAAAAAATTTCAAATTACTATAGTATGAAATTAATTTTCTTGTTTATTTTTCAGATTATTCCTAATCCTTCTGATAAACTGAAATATTTCAGCAAGTTCGATTTATGAGCAAAAAGAACAATTCATTTGAGAAGTTGACTGAGTCATTTTTTTTATTTCTTTTTTATTTTGTGCATTTATATTTCACTTTTATGAAATGTTCATTTGCTCAAATAAATATTTTCAAAAAGTTAAAAATGTGTCATTTATAATTTGGAAGTGATAGCTTGTGAAACACAGTCACAGACATAACAGCAACCAGAAGAGTTGCCAACCTTTTAAATTACAGTAATATAGTGCTCTAAGGTAATATCTCTACTCATCTATAGCACTATATACGGTAATGCAGTGCTATAGAAAGAGTATTCTTGAATACTAAAAGCTCATTTCAATTTATTTTTAATTTTATTTCCTTTCAGTACCTATTGGTCTTACTAAATATATTACTTTGAATATTAATAAATTACATATATAGACATTTTATAATGTGAATTTGATATCTTTTTTTTAACTTTTGAGAGGTAAAAGAAATCCATTCACATATTGACGTTTTTACAGTGAATTGAATATTTATTTTAGTAAAATTTTTATTCCAACTTTGTATCTAGGAAATATTTCTTCTCTTTTGTAACTTTTATTTCTTTGCAGACTGTATGTATCCATTTAATAAATGGCGAAGTAAATCTTATTGAAATTTATGTAGCAATATGTTTTTAAAAAAAATGTATTGGAACAAAATATATTTAATGTACACATTGTTGTGACATTTAGTTTGAAATTGCAATAGCCCATACAAAAAAATCTCTTCACTTTACATAAACTTTTCTTGTCAGTGTTTGAAAAGCTCATGTATATAATATTGCACCAAGAAACTGTAGTTTTTGATTTCTAAAAACTGTTATGGGAAATATAGTAAAAGAAAAAAATTATAGACGAAGTTTTAAATCATAATTTGTCTATATTTTAATCTAGTTATCTTCTACAATGCTCTTATTTCATTTAAAATATGTTATATTAATAACCTCTGATGCTTGACATTTCATTATAGAAATCCTAGAATTTATGAGCAAAAAATACCATGGCAATAAGTTTTGTTGCTGGAGAGGAAAACTTTTTTTTTTTCGTCTTCAAAAATTTTCTTACAATCCTATAATGAGTCTGGTGTACTTGCCTGACGCCCTTTTTCCTACAACTCCTTTGCTTAAAAATAAATCACAAAAACCCTGACTAATAAATTGATCAGAATGATCATTTATTTTTTATTAAAACTACTGTTATAAATAATATAATTAAATTGTATAAACAATAGTGAACAATGACTAAAATAATAAAAAAATATTTATAAAAATTACAACAAAAACTTTCTTTATTGGGGCATCCATGCATATTCTTTCCTTAGTGTCCACACTGTCTGGCAAATGACCAGATTCATCTTTAGTATTCAAAGGTATTATTTTGTAATACGATTTAAAATTGATCAATATCTGTTAAAGGTAATAAAATAAGTAATTCTTTTTTAAATTTTAATTAAAATCTAAAGTAGTTCTAAGTAAAATAAATTTAAACTGACTTAAGAATTTTTCATTAAATTGAATAAGGTAGGGAATTTTATTTTTCGTTTAAATAATGGAGATGCTATGTTTATTATTCCCTATTGTAGATTTATTTGATTTTAACGTATGGAAATATATATCTAGTTACATTTGAATAAAAAAAAATTAGATGCTAGAATCTTAATTGCTATTAAATTTCACTTACATCCTCAAATTTATAGACAATTTTGTTTCATAAACTTTAGAATAGAAATAAATAATTTTGATTTATTTCTTTTTAAAAAAGGGGGGAGGGGCACATAGACTTTTAATTATTTGACAAATAAAACACAGTTATAAACCTTCAATTTGTAAGTTCTTTCTTTTAGGCTTTTATTATAAAATAAATGTATGCATAACAACTTAAGATGAAAGAATTTACATCTTTTTTTCAAATGCTTAGATTGATGCCTATCTATTAAAATTTTTATATCAAAAAAAAAAAAATTTAACAAATTATTTTTGAGCAATAAATTGTAAGTTGTGTCAAGTTTAACTGCTAATTTTAATGCATCACTTATCGAAAATGTAAATGCAAAGTTTTCAATTATTTTAGGTGACAGCACCCTTAACAGAGTTTAAGGGGCTATAGTCTAAGGGCATTAAACATTGTTACAAAACTTCAACTATGATAAGTAAATGTATGAGTTATATAACATAATTTCACTTTACATGACCCAAGTTAAAACGACACGTTAAAAAAATCGCTACATAGCTTTATCTACTATTATTCCATAGATTCCATGTTTTAATGCCAATTATGACATCCACACTAAGCATCCAGTATAGCTACCGAAAGTCATTTTATTCAGAGAAGCGAAGAATTAATTCAAACTATATTTATTTTTTTACGGTTACTGCACAATGTTAAACACCTTAAATCTCTTTGGATGTCGGGAGAGTGGCCACCAGATTCTTTACCTAGATTGTTGTGTGGTTAAAAAAATTATGTAGATTACTTAACATTAATAGTTGAAAGTAATTAATACACCGCCATATAGAAATCAGCATGAAGTCCAGTTCACAATCAGTGCAATTTTCTTTTCAATGCATACAATAAATTTATCAATCATAATTTTCTCATTTAAAAATCTAATTCACACTTTTTCTATGAAATATTAGTCCCTTTGGTTTATCTTCATATTATTCATTGAAAATGTCTGCCTTAAACCATAGTATTATTTTTAAGGCATTTTACACACAAAGAATTATTTTAAAGGGTCCTTTTAGGTATATGCTTTTTGAAAAACATTTTATAGAGTGGTAGACAATTAAAAATTAAAGCTTTTTGAATTTTTGGCAATTTTGCCAACATTTAAATAGCCTGAGAGAGCTGGAACAAAGTAGTGTTTCATATAAACTTAGTGTTCATTTACATGAAGTTGTGTCGAAAATAACTTTAAATCAAATTTACAAAACATAAACTTAGCCACCACTAGAAGAAATGTTCCCAAAAAATGTAGAAAGTTGGCAGTCCTGTATTAACATAATTACCTTCCTTGATTGTTTTATTAAAATTAATCCCAGTCTTTAACTATCAGTAGGGTTCAATATTTAGAAATGACAGAATTTAACTCAGTTCAAAATGAAAAGTTGAAGAATTGCAGAATTTATGGCATTGTTACAAAACTTATGTTATAAAAATACACATTGCAGTAACCGCATAAATTTATTTGAAATTTTTATTTAAAAAAGAAATCTTAACATCACTTGCCCATCAATCTGTTAACCAGATATAAGATTTTAATGAAATTTGCATTTAGTCTAAAAGAATTATAATAACTAGTACTATGATTAATCTTTTTAAAATTCTCACAGATAAGCCACAACAAAACTCTAGTTCAACTTTATTTATACAATTCAATGCATTATACTTTTATTTATAGTACATATTTTCACAATGCTAAACTAAAACTAACAAATACATAAAATACAATTTAAATGGCAGGTACAATTTTCAATTAAAGTCATTATGGATGTTATAACAGTTAAATCTATTTTCTCATTAAAAAAATTTAAAATTTTTATTTTTCTTTGCTTATTCCATATGCACCACACAGAATTTATATCACAATACAGTTATTGGTGCTTTACATTAAAAAAAAACTCAATATTTTAAAATCAAAATTCACTATACCTGCATCCAAAAATAATAACAAACTATAGGTTACAATGAACATAAAACAAGTTTATAAAATTATAATGTACAGTGCACAAAAAAATAAACGAACCTCCCTGAATAACTTTTGATCTAATGATCAGATATTCACTTTCTAATGGATCTTCACTTTCTTAATGGTTCGAGGGGGTGACCTCAAATATGCTAACTAACTAGAACAGACAATATTTTAAGCTATGAAATCAGACACAAAAACCTATTTTCTCTGAATAAACATACCTCTCATTCGAGGGAATTGGATTTCTGACCCCCCACCCCCCAAAAAATATAGGGAGCAGTTGCACTCTGGAAAATATGGTAATAATATTTTGGTCATGAGAGTGCTCCTAAGTTTGGACCCCTTTATGTTAATTTTACTTTTTGAGTATTTCACCATATCTCGAGGAATTTAAAAGCGAATTGAAAACTTTTTACACACAAATGCAATCATAAAATTTATTTATCCTAAGATAATTCTATGCAAAAAATAACTTAATAAATCTTTATTTCATTTAAAATTAGCCAAAAAATTTTGCATTGTAAGGTATACAATGTGTTATATTATTTTAAGGAATAAAATTTTATATAGCAAAATACAAAGTATGTATTTTTCTAATTAGATCTCTCATTACCAATTCGACTGATTTAACTTAAATTTTGTAAAATTATATTCTTTAAAAGGAAATATAGCGAAATACGCAAAAAAAAGTAAAATTAACAATAAAAGGTCCAAAATTTGGATGGCTCTCCTGACCACCTATTGGCACCATATTTACCAGATAGCGGTCACCCCCTATATTTTGGGGGTCAGAAATCTGAACCTGTTGAAAAAAAAAAGGTATATTTAATTAGAGAAAGCACGTTTTTGTGTCCAATTTCATAACATAAAATATCATTGCCACTAATTAGCATATTTGAGGTCACCCCCTGGAACCATTAAGAATGAGTTCTAGAACATAAAGGTTCGATAATTAGATTAAAAGTTATCCAATGCAGTCTGTTTTTTATTTTGAGCACTGTATATTACAACTTATAGCAAATACAAACAGAAATTATAGGATAATTAGTAAGACTTGCAAAAAGTAATAAGATGCATAATAAGTGCTGCTTATCAAATACTGACATGTATAAGCTAAGGATTTTTGAAATAATTGCCTTAAGATGCTGCTGATAGTAGGAAGTTCTTTTTTTCATAGAAAATACTCAACAAATAGAAGTAAAATCAATCAAGTGAAACACACATTTTTTTAAATCTTTCCAAAAGATCATTTAAAAAATCAATGCATATATTACTTATTTACATGTAAAGCATATTATAAAATAGTGTTACCATGTATTTCTCCGAATTTCACGCACACAACAAAAAATAATAAAATGAAAAAAAATATTTGCTTGCTAAAAAATTGTCCTAAACTTTATCGAAGTACTTTTTTTCTTCTTCTTCATTTAACATCTCTCACTTCAAAATTCTAATATCTTGAAGGTAAAAAAACAATAGCTTTGTAATTACGAACAAATGAAGAAAAAGTTTAAAATGTTGTTTAATGTGTGTACAAAAATTCACATAAAAAATATGGCATGATCTAAGAAGACAATAATAAAGAACTTTAATGTGTAAAAGAAAAAAAGATAGGTTATTTTAATGACCTTAAAGAACATTTAAATGAATAATACTGTTGCAAAAACTTCCTGTGTAATTTTGTATGTGTTATCCAGTCTATAAAAGGTTTGGTGAGATTAGCGGGTTACAAAAAAAAAATATTTATAGACAAATATTTAATAATGTATGCAACAAATATTTTTCTATTATATGACAAATTGTGTATTAAATAACCAACAGTGAACAGACCCTTTCTAGAAGCTGTGTACTTTTTTCCAGAAATACTGCATTTATTTGAATCTTAGCTGCACTTTTCATCCTATGCTAAGCTATTGAGAATCCGGTTCGGCTTACAATCGAAGGGAGAAAAATACGCTGGGTGGTTGAAATTGAGTTTTCGGAGCATGATACTCTCGGTTAGACCAACAGCAGCTTCATGAGCGGAGGAATAGTCACTGACAACAAAAATTTTATCATTGATCAATGGGGTAAGAGAGCCAGGAAGAGAAATTCTATAATACTACTAATTACTATTATACTACGATTCTTTCTCCTGCAATGCATGCAAGCAATTCTCAACTTTTGATACATAATATCTGATTCTGTTCACAATAATTATTATATAATTTTTTTTTATTAAATAGTTAATTTTATATTATTTGCTTTTTTTCCAACTTTTCCCCACAATTACTGTAAATTATGGGATCTCACGTCTGTTATTTTGAGAAGTCCGAGCACTTAATTTTCTTCTTTCTGACATCTCGTGAAGGGGATAAGGATGCAACAGCAATTAATCTTCTTTCTATTCCTCTGAAAGAACAGTAGAGACAAAAAGAACTCTCATATTTTATTACGGTTTTGCCGAAACGGGATATCCTTTTTACACTGATTTTCATTTTTTCACAATATGTAGAGAACTTGGGGCACAACTTTGAATCGATGGCAGCTTAGATTCGAATAAATCTGTTACCGTCAAAGAATAATAAACATTGCTTTTTCATAGGAGTGACAAAAAAATTTACTCAATATTTTTTACCCTTTTCCAGCAAACTTTTTGAGAATCAATAAAGTATCTACACAATAAACTTCCGATTAAAAATACATGGCATTTTAAATAAGCAAGTTTTTTTTTTTTATAAGTAGTACTGTTGTACGACTAACTTTTACAAAAGAGATAAAGATACATATATAAAAAAATTGCTTTCGAATTGACTGACTTTTTTTTTTTTGCACCTTTAAAATCAAGGTGAATCAGTTACTATCCCATATCAACATATCAAGCAAAAATGTCCTTCAAACATGTCATGAGTCATCTTCTTCCTCCTCTTCATTTGTTATTATGTTGAAAAATACAGCAGTTAACTCTTGGCAAATTTTGTTTTGTCTTCTAAATGGCAGCTGCTTTAGAGTGTTGCCCATAAAATTCATCAAGTGATCAATAGTATCCAGCTCTTTTTTATCTTTATACAAGGATAAATCTGTAAATTGGAAAAAAAATGAGAGCATTAACTAACATAAATTTCATTCATTGATTAAATTAGTTCAAATCTATTTCAATACCATGTTTGTATATTAAAGATACATAAGATTTTAAATTTATAAAGTAATTTTTATAACTATACTATGCTCCACTGCATACAAATGTAAAAAAAAATTTCCAAGAAATAATTTTTGATTTAATAAGTAGACTTTCCTATACTATAATGCTTTTAAATAATCTCAAGGAAAAACATTAAATATGCTAATTATGAAGTGCTGCTTAGAAATTAATGTACAAAACATGGGATGGTGGACGCAATTAGTAAAACATTCTCTTAATAAGAGCTCTACAAAACCTGAGTACCCAATCCCTATGGTGCCTGAAAATCTTACTTGACAACCAATATTTCAGTAAAATTAAAATTAAAAAAAAAAGTCTGAAAATCTGAATATTTTCAAGAAGAAAAAAATTATTTTTAAACATAACATTCAACTAGAACATTTATAAAACCTGCATCTTCTATGAAATCAACTTGAAAAATTAAAACTTAATAGATCTTTCATCTATTATATATAATTCTCTTACGTGGCTTCCAAATTTTGGATGTATTTCTTTTCCGCCGGTGGCAACGTTAGCTTTGTTTTGAAAACACCAAAGCATTCTGCCTTTTAATGATGTGTTTCTGATCTAATATATATAATTCTCTTACGTGGCTCCCAAATTTTGGCTGAAGTACTTTGTACAACTAAATAAGATTCTTTTCACAACAGTTAAATATTTACTTTATTTTCTTCATTCATAGAGAAAACAGTCGGCAAAGAATTCTGTTAGGTTAAAAAACATTTCGCTAAAAAAATAACGAATTCTAAAAGAAATAAAAATAAACAACTTAAAAAATAAAAATGCTGTTGCCAGCCATAGAATTTTTTGAAAGTTAACTTAGCAACATAAATCAAAATGACATAGAAGCGCAACTAGATCAAAATTATGATACCTGAGCGCTTGACGTAACAAATCCTTCAATTCTAAAAGTGTTGTATCGCCAAATGCCCAAATTAACAATTGTGTTCTTAAAGAAATTCTATAAAAAGTTTTAAATAAACAACCTACTTCTACAACTGCTTCTTGAAGAACTTGGCTCATTGATTAAAAATATTGTTTTAATTTTACAGTACTAACTTTACTTCTACTTTCATTATTGCTATGACCCTCTTTCATTACATTTTACAACTTCATGCTAAATTTGAGGACTTTAAGTTGTTTTGTGGTTGAATACTGACATTTAGAAATGTGTACATAAAAAAAATAATATTTAGAGGTTAAGAGTTGCCTCAGAAAAATTTGAATTGTTGACATTGAACTTAACAATGGAAACAATCGTTTTTGTGAAAAATTGAATTGTATTGTTGACATCTAAACTAAAAATATTGTGTTTCAACTTAACAATACTACCTTAATTTATACTTTAGAATCGCCTCGGAGAAATTTGAATTGTAAGCAATGACTTAAACAATAAGTTTTATTTTAACTGACAAATACTATATTATAATTTTAACTTTTTCTAAGACTATACTCATTTTCTTACTCTTTTCTTTGTTTTTTATAAATTTTACTTTTTTGTGATAAAATAAAAAACTTATAGTTGTTCTGCTTCTGAACACTGATGCAAACACAAAATGATGGGCTTCATTAACAATCAAAAATATATACATTCATTTTTCAAATTCCATATTGTTAAGGTGGCGCCTTTCAGAAAATTAAAAACACAAAATTATCTTCATCAAAGCCGATGCATTACATCCGGTGTTCAGTGGCAGACTACTATTTCATATTGTTTTACAACACATGACTTTAGCCCTCTGGTGGGAAAGAGTTTAAAACATAACTTACAACAGTTACTTTTCTCAACAACTGAAATTTAGAATAGTGTGATTAAGAAAAATATGTGAACTGTTTGCAATTTCAAATTAATATTGAAATGTACAGGTTTAGAATTTTCTACAGTGAAAAGTTTTCGGAACTTCAGTATTCAAAAAAGTATACAAAAACTAGACGTTAAGAACGTATCCAATGAGCGAGCAAAGCGAGCATTGGATTGCGAAGCAATCTAAAATTAACTGTGAAAGCAGTTGCGGGGGTTGGAGAGCGCCAGCGAGCAGGGGGCGAAGCCTCATAGTATGATATATTACCTTTCATATACTTCTTAAACCTTTAAGATATGTCATGAAAGCATCCAGAACTCTTAATAGATATTTGCATTAAAAAGTATTGCTTGAATTATATCCTCTTTGGTGCCTCTGTAGCAGAAATTCAGCGACATCATTGCAGAACATTACAAAGTTCTAGTAGAAAGTTTTTTTTAAGTAAGTCTTCTTTTCCGAAAAAATTTACATGTGAAATTTTAATCATGCATTTAGATAGTCACTTTTTGGCATGCTCAACTTACACCGATAGTATCGTAAAGCAATATGTTTTTATTGCATTTTTGGCAGTTATTGGTATTGATTTTTACATGGTTTTTTAGTTATCCCAATATATTTCAAACAATATGGAAAACTTGAGTATTTACTTATAAAGGCAATGATTCTATCGATTTTTTGGCTGCTACTGCTATTGATTTCTCCACAGTTGTCAAATACAATATTTTTTATACGATGCTAATTAATACAAGAACCTAATCTCGAAACAAAACACGCATTTGAGTAACCCCCTTTTGAGGACTCCGATGAGTGTGATTTCGTCGCCGATCTTTTTTTCTGCAATTACTACTATGGATCTCATGATTTCTAATTATTTTTCAATTATTATGATTATCTACAAAATGGGAAGATAAAAATAGTTAGTGCGTTTTCTCCCCCAACAAAGCGTGAGAATATCACCCTTCATATTAGAATAAAAAATTATTACATGTTTAATTAAAAAATTATATTATATATTAATATATTTTAAATTAGAAACACATATTTTGTTATTATTAAAAGTATCTTGCAGAAAGATATTAGTGCTCGAGTTTTGTCACAGCTAGTGCGAAAGAATTTGGTCACAGGGTTTCATACGCAATGGTATGTGCACGCTGTATACACATAAAAAACACACTATAATGTGTTTCATTTCAAGACACAAAATTTCAAACATATAAATCTTTAAATAAAAAAACAAACTTTTAAAAATAAAAAAAAAGGATAAACCAAGAAATAATGCAGATTTAAGTTAAAAACCAATGATATGTACCTATGCTATCGTCATCATCAAGTACTCTTCCATTTCTAGAAGATTTTCGAGGAGATGGCTGGTCTGTTTTAGGCAAGATCTTAACATATTTTCGAGGAGAACTCTTTGCTGGTGTGTGTGTACGAGATTTTGGACCAGAAGGCTTAGTAATAGTTGCTTGTGGCTGGTCTGTAGGCATAACTATCCTAATGAAAGTACTTGGCGGCATCAAAGCAGTGGATGATGAGCTTGAACCATGCAATCCTGCAACACTAAAAGTTGCTGCGGAATCTGTTGCTGATGAAATATTAGTAGAAGATGGCGACGAAACTTTAAAAGATGTTTGTAGTTCTTCCGCTGATGAGTCTCTTTCTTCTTTCATATGTTGATAATCTTGAGATGATTCTTCTTCAGCGGAAATGCTCTCTTCATTCATAACTTCATCCAGTTCTTGAGCAAATGGCTTACTAGAACAAAGAAAAAAATATTCTTGATTAAATGTACGTATTTTCTATTGTCAATCTTAGCAAATTTAAAAATTGTTGTACGAATATTGTTTGCGATAATAAACTTTTGCATTTTCCTGATCAGTCCTTTAAAAAGATGAATCTGATATTCATTCCTCTACATCAATGTTTCCCAAAGCGTGGTACGCATACCCAAGGGAACAATTTAGCAGGGGTACACGTTCATATACAAAATATCTTGCAACAAACAGAATTCTCAAAATTGTTTATTTAAAAGCAAAACTAGCCATGGAAATTTACAATTCCGTATTTTTCTATTGGCTATTTTTTGCAGAATTAACAATTAATAATTAGTGGTGTCAACAGCCAGTTGCGATTTTTAACTTTTATACAACTGTTTTAAAGTAAAAAATCATTCATTTTTTTATTAGTGGTACTCAGCGTTACGAAAAATTTAGAAAGGGTACACAAAAGTTATAAGTTTGGGAGACACTGCTCTACATCATCACCTTCCTCTCCTCCTTCAATGATGCCATCAATGAAAAAGAAAACTGAGAACAAACTTATCTTGGACAACACTATACTTCTACAGTCTGTCTATGCAAAAAAACTCCTCTCGCCAATTTGTCTAGGAGCAGCGGCGATAAATATGGTTATGACTATGGATATTTCAAACAGGCTTTGGCCATGGCAGCAAAAGAAAGGTAATCATTTTCCTACAGTATGTTATAAAGCTCCCCTCTTTGAAATGTGCTATTACTTTTTCCAATAGTTACAGACAGCCTTAGACATTGTGTTGAGAGGAGTTCTTTATATAGACAGACTATATGTAGAATCTTAAAATAAATATCAACTTCCTTTAAACTGTACTAGCTTAATCAATTTTAGAAAAATCTTGAACAACTAAAACCTAAATAGTAAATCTTGTATTTTTCGAACTATTGAGTTCTGAACAATATGCAAGTTAAAAATGGAAGAAAGAAAGTTGGCATTTTTTAGAAACATCACAACTACTTGAAACTAAATCGCTACAATAACTCTAACAAATCTTAATCAATTTGTTTCCCGAATTCGGTATGCATTACAACTACTTCGAAATTGGCAAAATATTTTAATCTTAAAAAATCTTAAACAAGTAAAAGTATGATTATTAAATGTAAATAGGAAGAAGAAAAAAAGACCTCAGATGTAAAATGAAGGAAATGACCTCAACTGACAATTAATAAAACAAGTTTACATTTATTATTTCTCATTGAAACTGATAACATTATACATGTTTACTATAAAAGTAGTAAAACATCTTTAACTTTTTAGTGTTATAGAAAACATTATACTGAGATGAGAATAAAAAATTTTTGTACCAAACCCTTTAAATAATTATAATTTTTAATAATTTTAGAATATTCATTGATTTATAATGTTATTACTTACACATCTTCTAGGTGTGGGTCTAAAAATGTACACAAGTCATAGTACAGCCATCTTTTAATGCGGGCTGACTTAGGACCTCGAATTTTATCCCTTTTTTCCTTCCTGTATCTATCTCTTATCACCTTCCAGCGATTCATACAATCAATACCTACGTTGATAAAAAAAAAACATATAAACATTAATATAAATGCAAACTCTTCATTTTGCAATGTAGCTAAAGTCTTAATATTTACTGGTGATGAAATAGTCTAAATATTAATTTAACACAGGAATATTCTCTAGAGTACCTTATCTTTAAGCAGCCTCTACTTAAAAAATATTTGAGCAGAGAAAAAAAATTAAATACAATAATTCTTCATCTAATAATGAGCTCTTTATGCATGGGCCTTTACTATGTTCAAAGTTTGAAGGACTCAAACACCACTTGGAACAATATTTATTTTAAATAAAATCATTATTTAATATAAAACGGAAAGCAGCATGGATCTCAAACACATGCGACAATTTTTAAACAATAACTACCTCTTGTTTAATTGTCTTGTATTTAAAAGTTTAAACAGCATTAACATAAAAATTAAATTGCATGATAAAATATATTTTTCATCAAAAATGAAATCTCTTTAAAGATCCAATACTGATTTTTAAAAATAATTTCATTTTTAATAAAATGTTTTTTTGTTATTTTGTATTGACTATCAAAACAAAATATTGAAAGAGTTTAAATTAATTACATTATAAAAAAACTAGTATGGTTTAAATGAAATAGGTTAATGGATAAATTTCAACTTAAATATAAAATTTCTAGTTTTATTTTTTAATTACTTACATTAAATTTTCAAAATTAATATAAATGAACACAACCTGGTTCAATGCTTAGTTTTAACATTTTTTAAAAATTTTTCACTTCTTTTTGGTGTTTAATCAGCATTATTTCGATTTCATCTAGTTTATAAAAAAGTTGATTTTTCTCTTGAAAAATGTCTAAACTTTAACTAAAGTGACCTTATATTACACAATGCAAACCTCTTTGTAATACTTTTTTAATGCAGTGATGCAGCTCCTCTACTAGGTACTTAATAGTTTTTTCACTTAAACTTTCTGCTGCATTGATTAACTCTTGTAGCTAGTTTCAATCCCTTCGTCACAACCTCATCTTAACGAAAGTTGTTTGAAAATCATGGATTTTTTTAAAAATATTTAATTTTTTATAAAGCTTGATATTAATACCACAGGGATAAGTTTGGTTAAAAACGAAAAGAGGTAAAAAAAAATGTGAAGAAATATGATGTAACATTTCAGCAAAGAAAAAAAATATGTAGAAAGCATTTTATTTGTGCATGGAAAGTAATCAACGAATGTTATCATTGCATTTGCATTAGAGGAAAGATAGTAAAAATTTCTGTTTCTCCTCAGACATTATAAAAAGGCAAACTTTCTTTGAAGAGACTTCTTTTTCAGTAATAGTAAAAAACTTTACATGATGGTGGACTCAGCATTTACATTAGACAGTGTTTTCATCACAGAAATATGGTTGAGAATTTCTCACTCTTTCTCAAAAACAGGGTGAGATTTCAAAAAGTTAAGTGAGATTTCTAAAAATGAAAANAAAAAAAAAAAAAAACACAAAGAGACTTGGGAAAAAAATCATTTCTTTAATTAAAATACATTTTTAACATCTTCTAATTTTTAAAACATTGAATATTTTTGCTGCACATCATATGGAAAATGTTCTACATCTACTTTTTCATCAGCTATTATCATTAGGTTGCTCAAATGCAAATTTTTTGCGTTTTAATCGTTTCCGCCCACATTTGCTTCAATTTTCATTTGACTGTTTCGGAGTAGAAGATATTGCCTTTACAAGGTATTTATCCATCTTACATTAATGCGCAAAAAATTTGAACATCTTACATGAAGAAACCTCACCTATGCGTTCTGAAAGAGGTTCCGTGATTCCGAGAGATGGTGTTCTGTTGTTCTTAAAGGTTCTGAACAATACTTGTAAATAGGGAAGCTAGATAATGGGGCAGATGTTGAAAATATGTAATGAAAGATCCCGGAAGAAAAGTTAAATGGATTTTATTCTAAATGAGAAACTTTTTTCAAAATGCTAGAAATTCTCGAATTTTGAAATTGGTTTATAGAATGCGCAAATTTTTCGCAGTGATCATTTTTTAATGTGAGAAAGGAAAAAAATATGTGAGACTATCGCGTTGTAGTGAAAACACTGTTAGAGTAGAAACTGATACGAAAATCTTCCCCTGACTCTTAATAAAAATATAAGTAAAGTTACTATGAAGAAGTTAATCATTATTGTTTGAGACAGTCAATTTTAGTCAACCTTTTTAAAAAATATATATATAAGAAATGCAACCTTAGGAGAATAGATAAAAACAAACATCATAATTAACAAGATACGAATTATTAAATGGGTTTTTTCTTCGACTTTTAAACTTTTTTTTCAAATTGCCCTACTCTAAAAAAATNTCATCAGCTTTTATCATTAGGTTGCTCAAATGCAAATTTTTTGCGTTTTAATCGTTTCCGCCCACATTTGCTTCAATTTTCATTTGACTGTTTCGGAGTAGAAGATATTGCCTTCACAAGGTATTTATCCATCTTACATTAATGCACAAAAAATTTGAACATCTTACATGAAGAAACCTTACCTATGCGTTCTGAAAGAGGTTCCGTGATTCCCAGAGATGGTGTTCTGTTGTTCTTAAAGGTTCTGAACAATACTTGTAAATAGGGAAGCTAGATAATGGGGCAGATGTTGAAAATATGTAATGAAAGATCCAGGAAGAAAAGTTAAATGGATTTTATTCTAAATGAGAAACTTTTTTCAAAATGCGAGAAATTCTCTAATTTTGAAATTGGTTTATAGAATGCGCAAATTTTTTGCAGTGATCATTTTTTAATGCGAGAAAAGAAAAAAATATGCGAGACTATCGGTTGTAGTGAAAACACTGTTAGAGTAGAAACTGATGCGAAAATCTTCCCCTGACTCTTAATAAAAATATAAGTAAAGTTACTATGAAGAAGTTAATAATTATCGTTTGAGACAGTCAATTTTAGTCAACCTTTTTAAAAAATATATATATAAGAAATGCAACCTTAGGAGAATAGATAAAAACAAACATCATAATTAACAAGATACGAATTATTAAATGGGTTTTTTCTTCGACTTTTAAACTTTTTTTTTAAATTGCCCTACTCTAAAAAAATATATATCTCAATATATATTTGTATAAGTAAGAAAAATCTTTATTTAACATAAATATACAATAACATTTAAAAGGAAATATATTTAATAAACAGGATAAAAACATGTAATTTCTTTCACCTCAATAACAAACATTTAATATTGTTAATAAAATATAATATTGCTAATATAATAAAATATTACCTTCCATGCCCAGTTTTCGACCAATTTCCTCCCAAGCAGCCTGACGATACTTGGACCGTTTATGATTCATTTCATTTCTATCATACAAAAAAGAATACCTCTTTACTTCGTTGATCAAAATACAGTCTTTTCGCTGCTTTGAATTGAGATTATTCAAGCGGGCAAACGAAGCGATATTCATCATTATGCTCTAAATTATATGGCACTAGAACTTTAGCCAATGACTTAACTATTTCAGAAGATTTATAATAAAACTGGTCTTTCAACTATGTTGTATTCTGCTTGTTTACCTCCTCTATGTTTATTTTGAAAAAAATTGAGTTTCGTGCAATTCAGCTTCACCGTTGCCTACAATAAAATGTTCACATTAATGTTTTAAGTGAGAGTCAACCATGAAAGTTTCTAAGCGTTTCCCTTATTATACAACCAATCAAAAGCGTTGATTTAAAGGTCTCGTCGCCATTTTTCTGTAAACGTCAAAGCATCTGCAGTAAGGACGCGATTGGTATTTTAGAATCAGATGCTTAAAAGTGACCAATCAAATAGAAGACACAAGTGCCAAAAGATGAAAGCAGTATAATGAAATAAACGCCACGAGAACATCTAAGAATTCTCTAAGTTTCGACTTCCTTTCCTAGGTAGCGCTAGTAACAATAGTTAATAAACGAAAAATTGTTAGATCCTTGTTTCACAACTGCAACTAGATAAAAATGAACTGAACGGAAACTAATAAGCTTGTCTGCTTGTCCTTTTGTGCTGAGTTTTTGTTTATACCGTTTATATTTTTGACTTCATATATTTAACTATTTGGCTTATTTATTAATAGATAAAATGGGCTCATTAGTTTTAAAAACACTTTCAGTATTTCTAGGTTTATTTTTTATACTTGTCGGATCAATGAAAATTTCTCCGACCATAAATAAAGAAATGCACCGTGAGATAGTATGTTTTATTCATTGATAAATACTTTTATTTTTCTGACTTTATAAATTAAATTTATGTATAATAACGATACTATAGGTGAAGCAATATTTTGTGTATAATTTTCTTATTTTCTCTTTGTTTCATAAACTTTAACTTAAGATAATTAAAAATAGTCATCATGAAGTTATCATTATAAAATAAATGACTTAATAATAAACACTAAAACGTAATAGTTAAAGAAATTGTTATTGGTGACTTAAATTATGAAAAATAAATTTATTTTCTGTTACGGTGGTTTTCAAAGACAAAATATATTTTGTGAACAAAATCTAGGCTATTTGTATGCATTTTAAAACATATTTTCTCAAATTCAAGCAACTTAACGTGTTTTTTGAATATTTAAAATACCTGTTGTATTTGTAAATACGTTGTTTTAATTGAGATCAGTCGTTTCCGAAATGTCTGAATAAAATTGTTCTTTTGTTCTATTATTTCTGCATTTAATATAAATTTATTGTTACTCCAATATTTAAAACTATTGTGACAGTTAAATGATATTTTTAGATAAAGTTTGCTGTCTAGTAGAGCCTATCCATAGTTTTTTTTTTAAGCTCATCTTTTCTGCTGATTTTAAGAAAAAAATAATCTTTTTTTTTTCTTGTCTTTAATATTTTAATACCTCCTAAAACCTAATTCTTTATAGATTGCAATTTTATAAAGGTGTATTGTACAAATCAATGTTCTTTATAATAAATATTACTCTTAACTCTTTATTTAACTTTATATAATAGATGGATTCTCAAAGTATCACGTTTATTTTTAATTAATGAGATTAATGTATGCACAATTATTATGTTTATAATATTCTATTTTTAAATTTTTTGTTTAGAGAAGAAATTTTGTCCAGTATGCAAAAGTTTTTCCTCTGGCAAAAACAATTGGCTTCAAAATACCTTCGAAATATTTTCGTATTGTTGTAGGCTGGATGGAGGTTCTATGTGGCTTAACACTTGTGTTTATCCCAGGTTTGTGACATTTACAGTTTTTTTGTCTTTTTTTTTCTAATACTTTCAAGCTCAATTCTCAAATACATGTTTTCACTTATGTATTATGTTATTCTTATTGCTCGTGTTATAATCTTGTGTTGTTGTCTTTTCTTTTGAATTGATAAATAAAAAGTTTTGAATTTTATTTATCAATACAAAAGAAAAAACATGAAATAATCTAATGTGAGCAACTATGATTTTCTAAAATAAAGCATTCATTGAAAGTTGCATGAAAATATTTTAGTTCTATGATCAAATAAATTAATGAATAAATTATAGCAAATATGTAAAATACTATATACATAATCTTGGAATTTTTTTTTAATTTTAAATATTTGAATTGCAGTTCTGAATATTCACATGTTTTAATCTTTTATACTGTCACTGTGTAAGAAAAGTTTTATTAAAAACTACTTTAATTATTTACAATTTAACTCTTGCTTTGAAAAGTTTTTTTTTTTTTAGTTTGTCACTTATCTTAAAAATCCTTACAGTCACGCAGGGTTCATACAGTCCTTAAAAATTCAAAATAACTGCTTTTTTTTTTTTTTTACAGAATCTTAACTATCTATAGACAGAAAAAAAAGAAGCCAGTTGCATTAATATAAAATGTGGGGCGTTTGAAGGTCCAGTCCAACCCTTTCAATGAGCATATCAAGAACGACATTATTGATTAATTTTAGGGGGGTTAATCTCACTCTTTTTTCTTCTAAATGTTCTTTATCACAAATTATTGCAGGTTTTTTTTTATTGGAGAGAAGAGTCATTTTTTTTCTTTCCATTGCTTTATACATATGCTTTATGACGGAACAAAAAATGCTAGATCAGAAGAGTAGAATTAGAACAGTGGAATAAATATTGATTTTTATTTTGAATTATTGATTATCTTGATTCACCAATCTGCCATGTAAATGCGTTTCACTTACCATAATTCATATTTGTTTGACACGATTTGAAAGTCTCACATTATGATTCAAAATCCCGCCATTTAAAAATTCTGCATTGTGATTCATATTCACACAATTTTAAAATCTAACATTACCATTTGTAATCTGTGTCCGTACTTGGTTTTATATATATATGTATACACATTTATCATTATATAACCAACAACTTCAAAAGGTTTAGTTTCCTAGGTCTTTCTGAAATTTCTATTTTATTAATTGTTTTATATATTGAGTTCCATAAAGCTTCTGTTATTTTTCAATTATTTATTACGTTTATTTTTTAAATTTTATTATGAATGAACTATTTTATAAATAAAAGAAAGCATTTTTCATGTTTTAGCAAAATATGTGACTTAATGGCCAAACTAACAGAATATGCAGTGCATACCTAGACAAGTATAATAAGGAAAATTATATGAATCGTGAAAAATGTTTCTTATGCATTTTCTTATATAATTGTCTTCATGCATTGTTTAAAAAAGCTTGATTTCTATTTGTAATTTGGAATAGGGTTAAACTTTTTTACTCTAAACTAAGCAGCTTTAAAATTACAAAAGTCATTCCAATCTGCTCTAAATGTTTGAAATAGTTTCTTTAAATTCAATTACATTTGTTTCTTTGAGTAATAAAATACAAAACACCCAATGCATTATAAATGAAAAACTCTCCTTTGAACTCTTTATGTCGGCACTGAACAGATATTTTATGTGTTTCAAAATGCTGTAGTTTTTCTGTAAAAAAAATTTTTAATAGAATGATTACAATTATTCATTCTCTTTAAAGTGTCCTAAAATCGTCATTAAAATATCTATGACCATAAAGTCTTATCTGCATAAGGTTAGCATAAGAAGGACACACTTTTTTTTCTTAATGATTGTCCATTTAAATTTAATTTTGTGTGTGTATATATATTTGTAAGGAATTTTTTGCACTATATACAGGGCTGTCTTAATAGCAAGCAGGGCCCACTGGCAAAGAAATGTTTTGGGCGCCTATAACATGCCATACTGTTTAAAATCAAACTTAAAAACTTCACATTCATAAAATAAATCATTTTTAAGATATGCAATAATTTTAACAAACTTAAACACATTTTTATTACCTCAGAAACTAAATGCACATAAAATAACGTGTTTTTAAACTATGCATGATTTTAAAAAATTGAGATGCTGACCAGTCGCACTCGTCAAGTAATAAAATAAATTTCAAAACCAAAAAGCTAATAAAATAATTAAATTTTAAAAAAAATAAGAGTGTAACTTATAAAAAAATTCAAAAGGTATGAATTACTTTGTCAAACTGTTAAAGTCAGATATTGGAACATCTTTCAATGCGCATCAGGCGTAACCAGTTGAAAGGTTACTCTCCCATATTGCTGTGTAATTCTAAACTCTTTCAATTATTACTTAATTTAACTACTTATAAACGCTAAACAGAGTTGGTGGTGGTCAAGCATATTTAGAGACATAATCATTTTAACGTAGATAAAATAGATTTTGATTGACTTTTTAAGTTTTTCTAGTGATAAACTATTCAAATTATTGGTGTTTGTCTGATAATCCATCACTACTTGTAGGAAGAAAATAAATTCACACTTTTTACTGGAGAATATATTTATTTTAACAAATATATAATGCAATGCTGTTTATTCTTAGTATTTTTAATAAAATTTATAAAAAGTCGAATTCTTAAGGGCCCATGCGTAGAAACGGTACTGGATATATATATTGTTAGTGAGCTTTTCAAACCCCTAAACTTTTACAAAAATCAGGGGGTTGATTTATTCACCAATAATAAATTCAGACATTCGTTGATTGTTGCGTTATAAATGATGAGATAGATAGGAATACTCTTTATCAATTTATCCCTTTGAAAAACTATTTTTACTATGTTATATATGGTTAATTTTGTATTTTCTTAATATCAACAGTTTTTTTTATCTATAAAAGCAATACTTTAAATAACATTCTGAAAGAAATTAAGATTATAAAAAGTTTATATAATTTAGTGAAGAGTATTTAAAAATATAGTTCTATGCAAACTTTTTAAACATACCATAAAGCTACAAATTAAATTTTTCCTGAACATCATCTTAGTCAGATTCAATAGCGTTATGCATTTTTATTTGAGGGCAAATGTTTCATATACAGAGAGAAAAATGAACGAGGAACTTGAGAAAATTTTGCAGACTTTGATTTTGTTTTAAGTTTTTTAATTTTAGAAATTTTCAGGTTTAGTTTTATCAATGTTTGACTTTATACAATTTTGACACTTAGCAGAAATTTGCCATCTTGTTATCAAAATCTGGGATCGAATTATAAAACAGATTGACTTATAAACCAAAATATACAGTATGTAAAACTTCCAATAATTTGAAAGTTTTCTTTTTAAAAAAATGTGTGCCCCATCATGCTACTCCTGTGGCTTTTCTGGCTTTATTGGAGTGTTATTTATCCCTGTTAGTACTACATTTAATATTTTAAACTTATAATTATTATTATATCTTATATTCTGTATTCATTCATAATATCTGTATCCATTCACCTGTATTCATTCATACGCCTGTATTCATTTATAATGCAAAGTTGTTTTCATTTATCTCATTATTTTGTAAGTTAAATGTTAGTTCTTTTATACGTTTATTTTTAATTTGAAAACTTTTTTTTTTAGGTGTACTAAAACTGGTTGCTAATATAATTCTGCTTTTTTTAATGCTTGGTGCTTCTTACACACATACTATAATTGAAGATAAGTTTGAAAGAACCGCTCCTTCAATTGTGTTTGCCTTGATGCTGAGTTGTCGAATAATCGTTCATCTTCAAGTGAAACGAAAAGAAAAGAGAGCAGCTTTGGAACATGGGAGAGAAAATTCACACAGGGATTTATTTAGAACTGATAGCATTTCAAACAAAGAAACAAAACAAGATTAACTTGTTTCTTTCTTTTTATTTATATACTATTAAGTTACAAGTATTATGTGATATTTTATTTGTTATAATTTACAAGTTTTTTTTTTTAGCTGTTTCCTATTATTGAAAAACTTATACATTTTATTTTCTTAGCATTTATTTCAAATTTAGCCTATTCACTTTGATGTGTCATTTTTACTTTAATTACTTTTTATAATTTATATATATATATTTCCTTTTTCTTTTTTTACAATTTTATGTATATGAAAAAATTTTGTTTTATTTATTCAGTTTAAATAAAAATGTTATACATTTTGAATTTAAAATATATATATATCTCTATATTATGAATCGAAAGGATGAACCATACAATCATCTAATCAGTCAGCTAATTTATTTTTAAATTTCAAAGTGTAATATTAGATATTTAAACATTTTGTAATTATTGTAGTGAATATACCTAGAATTTATCTGTGCCAACTCATTTGTATAAATGTTGAAAATGATTGATTATTTAGGTATGTTTTTGTTAAATTTTTGAATGTAAATTTACAATTTTTTTTTAAACCAATTATTCAAGAATTTTTAGGTTGTTGCAATTCATTCTTTAAAATTATTCTATATTTAACAAAAAAGTTTTCAGAGAGACATACTTATTTTAAAAGTAAATTAACTATTTCCCTAACTTGCATTTGTTTTGTAATGGTTTTTTCTCTTAATACTAATAATGTAAGGAGAAGACATTACATCAAAGAATAAAATTAATAAATGATCGTTGGATTGAAAATGAAAAACAATTTCAAAAGTGCTGTTGATCCTAAAGGAAAACCAATTAAAAAAGTTCTGAAAATTGCCCTTAGAAAAAAAAGCAATTAAAAACAATAAGACAAAAAAAGTACCTGAAAAATTGATGAAAAGGAAAATGTGTTGTGCATTTAAAATGCCATTACAGCATAGTGTGAGTTCAAAATATCAGCAGTGTGTGCATTTATTTTTTAAGTCTCTCAGGANTAAAATGCCATTACAGCGTAGTGTGAGTTCAAAATATCAGCAGTGTGCGCATTTATTTTTTAAGTCTCAGGATTTTTTTTTTCTCCTTTGTCCCTACTGGTAAAAGAATTATATGTGAGTAATTTTTTGTTATTAATCAATATTTATATTAATTTGAACAAAAAAAATATTTACTTAGTTATTTTACTGTATTAAAAGAATGAATTTTCAAATATCATTATTTTTAGTTACTTTATAAATTGATCTAAGTTTTTTGAAAAGAAATATATTTAAAATAATTTTAGGGACTGTTCTTTCTGTATGCTAACATTTACTTACGAGTGAGATCCTAATTGGGGAAATATCTTGAATGAATTCTTAATAAACATCAAGTATTCATTCTTAATACAAAGCATATTCATAATCTTCATTTCAAGTGAGCAGTATATCCTTCATATATGGGCCGATGTTTAATTAATTGTAACCACTTAATATTAAATTTTTTTTAAATAATTATTTTATTTTTGAAAGGAATGTAAGCGAAATCTTATTTAAACAGAGCTTTAAAATCTATCCTCTTAGAGTTTTATAAATTTATTTAATGCTAAATGTTTTTCTTATTTGAAGTAGCAAAAAAAAATCTTAGTTCTGTAGTACTACTTTTGAAGTTTTATTGAATTGCATAAATTAGTTCTCTATAAATTATTTTGCTTTTGTCGCAATAGTGAATAAAAATAACTAGTGCCATATAGAGTCCAAATTAGCATTCAAAAAAACAAAAAAATATTGTAATAAAAAGATTTTTACAGTCTCAGATTCTCATATCCAAATTTGTGGAAATTTTATGTTTCTAACTTTAGTTTATGAAAACTTGAGGCAGAGATAAGTTAAAATATTGGTTTATGTTGGAATTGTTAAATGAATCTAGTTGAAACCTTTACATGAAATTAAAATTTTGTAATTTAAATAACTTGATAAAAATGGAAATGGTATTCATGTTATGATCAACAATGTGTAATAAAATGATCCGCCACCATCTTTTATTTATTTTTCAGCAGAAATAATAAAAGCTGCTCTTTCGATGCAAATTTACGAATTTTTTATTTAAAAACTTTATCATTCATTTTGTTTTATCACATTAAAAGATGTGAACAACCTTTTTGCAGACATATAGGAATCTTAAGAATTATTAGTAGATATATAATTTGCTAATTATAATTAAATTAAATTACATTACTGTATTATTACACTCTTTACTTGATTTTTTTTATACATTCCTGTGAATAAAAAAAAATTTCTACATTTCCTCCTTTTTAAATTAATGTTTGATTATTATAGAAAAAATATTATTCTTTATGTTTCAATGTGAAGAATATTATAGCAATTTTATAATTTATTTTCTTTTTAACGAGTAATGCATATTACATTTATATTATGAACTTTATATTGTATGTATATAATTAGTTACTCTTTTTACTGCAGATTTACATATTTATAGGCTTTGTGAATGTTTCAATGCAAAATAGCCAGACTGTCCAAACTGCCAACTTCCTATATATTTGTTTTATTTTTCAAAAATTACAATAAAATAGGAATCTAATTATTGCTTGCATTTTAAATCAATATTCAAGTATGTTTCATGCAGACTTGCATTACTTTTGAGGTCTTTTTATAAAGGATATAAATTGTTTCGATTTAAATTAATTTTAACTCAATAATTGCAATTTTTCTCTAGTGAGACTTTAAGTATGTAGATTATTTGATAGAAGATTATTTGAACAAGAAATAAATTTATGATTAACATCTGTATAATATTTTCATAAAATTGAACATATTCACAAATAAAATTAATATACATAGAAATGTGTGAATATGCTTATTGCGTGTTAAAAATTCATCATATTTATATATCTTTAATGTAGTTATAAATTTTAAAATAATAATTAATTAATGCACATAAATTAGGCTAATCTAAGGCATAAAACTTTGCTTTGTTTCCTCATTTGAAATTTTTTAATATTTAAAATATATCATCGATAAAAAATTGCACAAGCTTGCACTTAGGATATGTTTATTGATTAGTGCTATATCTTAATATACAAAATTTGACTAAAAAAACATCCATTCTCTGAATAACCATTTCTGTGTTTAATCTATTCTAAATATTCCCAAATATATATATATTTAGAGAGAGAGAGAGAATATGAGGTTTTGAACAAAATACATAAACTGGTAATTAAATTATTTTAGAAGTTTATTGATTTTCTTTATATGTACAGTATGATGTATCATGCATATTTTCGTGGTTTAATATTTAGTATTTAACATCAAATCATCATCACCTCTGATATTGAAAAATGTCCCTTAAAAATGTTGGCAGAAAGTCTAGTGTACATTTAAACTGTAGAAATGAAATAAAAATTATCTGTATTCAATGTTTTTGGCTTATGTAGATAGTATTTCTTTCATTGTTTGTTGTCTTACCTTCAATATATTCATGCGATATTTAATTGTATTATCATATCAATGTTTTACGTAAAAAATATCTTTACAAATATACCAGATAGATATATATTAAGCTGAACTCTATATCTGATATGTATCCTTATAATTTTTTCGCCTTTATTTATACATGTTTGTTGTAAGTTATTTTACTTGTTTTGTTTACTTTTTCAGTCATTTTTTTAAACCAATAAAAGCTGCTGAAATAGCTTCTTTTTATTATAAATTGTATGTATTCATCAATGTTTCAGAAATACTGGGATGGTTAGAACACAGTTAATTCTGTAAAGTTAATTCTGTATCATACCTTCTCGTTTATATCGCAGCTGCCAACACCCAACTCTAATTGATTTTAACTGTTTATCCTGGTTTTTCTAGATTTTTTCTAAAATTGGGAAAGTTTCTGAAAAAATCTCTATACAATTTTTCTATAAATTTGAATATTTATATAAGTACAGTTGGACTTCTATTTGACGAACTTCCATTTTGCAAATTTCTGTATTTTGCGATTTTTATCGAGGAACCTAAAGCATTTTGGAAATTTCTTCGTAAAATAACTTCCAAAGCGAAGTCAATTTTCCATTTAACAAACTTTTCTTTGAGATCCACTTTCCCTATTACGGAAAATATTTTAAAATTGTCTATGCATTTTATGGGGAAATGACCTTGAATTGATTTTTGAAGCCACTTATAGAGAAATCAAGGAAATCCCTTTCCCTTTTTGTTTTCATTTCAAACGAAAAACTCAGACAAAATCAACGAATTTTATCAGTAGCAATTAAACTTATGAACGCATGTGGTAATGTATGTTTAAAATTACTTCTTTAATAAATGCAGCTATAATTTTATCCATAAATTTAGTTTTTTTTAGTTGAAAATGTATTTAGCTTGATAGTGTACTGGATAATGTTTCTTGCTTTTCATGCAGATTTCTTTCATAGTTAAGATTTATAAAATAAATAGTAGATACTAGTTTACAAGATAAAGGTGTATCAATTGCTATTTTAATTATGTTGAGTGTTTATGAATTTAAAACCTGTTTTGTGTCGTTTAAGTATTTCAAAAGGTGATTTTCTCTTTAACGAATTTTCCATATAACGAACTTATAATCGGGATTTGGTGGCTTTGTTAAATAGAGGTCCGACTGTATATTGTTTCTGAATAATATAGTAAGCATTATTTATAATAATCAGTTTAAAACTTCTTTTTTCAATATTCTGAAGTTTTCCTTTTTTTTTTTTTTTTTTTTTTAAATTCAGAACTTTTTTTTTTAAAATTAGTTAAGGAATATGTTGTAAACATCCAAAACGAATTATTCATTACTATGCAAAACTATAATTACAAAAATGTAACGAACATGATAAAAACACTTTATATTGATCATTCATGTTATCTGTATAATGTGAATTATCAATAGAAAATATTGCAATTAATTTAAATTTATATTCACCAAATATTTCTAATGTGACAGTGAACAGTCAATTTTCTAAGCCAGATGCATACAGGTACCTAGCTGGTTACGAAATTATGATAGGAAAAACTTGTTCCGAACTTATGTTTTTGACGTTTTCTAATGCTACATGATTGCGCTAAATCTCTCTAGTGTTAAATTCAACT